TGTCTGGATGGACGCAGATGTTCCTCCTAAACCTGGAGATATTGTTTAAAACTGAGGACACAGCATCTATGATTTCCAGTTCTACGTTGAAAGGACAACTGGACTTTCTTGAGACGTCAAGTAAGTCCAGCTGTCCTTTCCAAAAGAGTGTTAGATTTAGCGAGACCTTTGTTGGTATAACTAGAGAAGCAAGCGGTCGGCAACATTCATCTCTGGAGGGGGCTCTAACTCGGTGTTAGGGTGTGTTTGACCCCAACTTAATTTACACCGAAGTATCCCTTTAATGCTGATCAATATCTTCAGGTTTAGGTGCAACATATACCACCATCCAGACCAAGACCTTCATATTTCAGGAAGACGACGCCGAACCACATCCTGCACATATTTCAACAGTGTGGCTCTGTAGTAGAAGGGTCCACATTTCTGAGTTTTGCGAAGTCATCTCTAACGTTTCAACTCCTCAAAGCATTTTCAAAAGACATGAGGAAAATCTGCCTTTTCCAGTCGTCTCAGAATTAAAAGTCGGACAGAGAAAAACTTTCCCAAAATGAAAAAAAAAAACAGAGGAGGAGGCAAAAAGGAAAAAGATGTGACACATTAAATATTAAAGTCTCAGGAGGGACACAGAGAAGTGTCCTCTCGCATTAGCCGACGAGTCCTCAGATCCTTTTCTTACTGCAAACGTCTGATTTATGGTTCGGGGACAGAGATGAAAACAGCTCTGTGGAGCGGCTTTCATTAGCGAGCGCTGGAGCAGTTTGGATGTTCAGATATCTGTTTATGTGGGTTAACCTCGGTCCGCCGGTTCAGGCCTTCTGTCGTAAACTGAAAACAATGAGATTAACAACGACCCGCGCGCTGCTGAACACAGAGCAGAAGAGAGGAGAGCGAAAGTTCGGGAGAGGAGAGCAACTGTGAGGCTCACAGTGATGGTCCAACCCAAACACTATCAAAGGAACCTGTGTTTTTAGGCCGTCTGTTTAGTCCTCCTCTGTGCCAATACATATTTCATTGGCTCTCAACAAAGCCGGGCAGGAGCATATTCTATCACAAAGGCCTCTGAACTCGGTCCCACGTGGACGCTGGACGCTGCGCACACACAAAGCAGCTCAATTGTCTCGGCGCTGGGCAGCAGTGTAACAAGTCCAGGCTCAGCACAAGTGCCCTTAGGTGAAAGAGAGGCTACAGAGAAAGCGAGAAGACTCTCAATTGTCTCTCCAAGGAGAGGAAGGAGAAAAAAAGAGAAAACCTGAGAGTGTTTTAATCAAAGACATGACAATACAAAGGACGAGTCTGACAGAGCAGTCCTCAGATTTCTCTACAAACATCTGGTCCTGAGCTGAGGGTGATGCAGAAAGACTTTTCAAATCCATTGTGAGTGAATTTATTCTCGGTGTGTGAAAACATTTCGAGTTGATCTTGTTCTGCTGCTCCTCCCGACGAGACCTGCTGTTTTTTTTGTTTTTCTGGAGGGTCTAAATAGAAAAATGTTCCTGCTGTTTGTGGTGGATCGACCACAGAGGACCGACAGGTAGACCTCTGGGTTTAGTCTCTTAGTCTGTGTGAACTCCATCCGAAAGCTTTCCTCTGCATTTGTGACAAGAACAGCGAGTTTGAGGGTCCGTCCTCGGAGGTCTGGGGGGCCTCAGAGAGACCTCACCTGCACTTCAGATTGTAACCTCAAAGAGTTAAACTTCTGGAAACCTCTCTGTTGTCACTTCCTCTCACTGAACAAGTTAACACAATGAGGTTCGAGTCTTTGACCCGCTCATCGAAGACCTCGATTTATCCGCAGTCTTTGTTTTAAACGCTGAACAAAGTCGATGAATCAGAGACGACCTTTATTTTACAGAAGCTGTTTGTCAGTCAGAGAAAATAAGAGGCGGAGAGAGGGAGAAATGAGTCAACATCACAGCCTTTAAAACTTTATTCCAGTGTTGTTGAAGCTGAGGTGGAGGTGGTGTGAAATACGAAAGTGCTCGAGCTACAGGAAGAGCCGGTCTGCTCTGCGCCGTCACGCAAGCTAGGCTACTGTTTTCTGCAGATGGGGCCGAGTTCGCCATCGAATTTTGAGGGACTCTGACGATAGTACTGGTAAAGTAAACTTAGGATGCTTTATGCTGCTGCTATAACCAGATTTTTATCATTAGTTTTCTTTAAAATCCGAAAGATCAGGAAAAATTGAAGTGACTTGAAAACATAGATCAGGGGTCGGCAACCCGCGGCTCTGGAGCCGCATGCGGCTCTTTCTTCCCTAAGCTGCGGCTTCCAATGGATTTGGAAAATAAATAATAAATACTTAATTGCATTTTAATTTATTTGATTATTATTATTATTATTTTTGTAATTCTAAATTCAAAGATTATAATGCTCTTGTAACATTAAATAAACTATTAAGGCTGCAACAACGAATCGATTAAGTAGATTCGTCGTGACGAAAAAATCCGTTGCCAACAAATTCTGTAATCGATTCGTCGGGTCTTTATATATGTCCATGGACACCGGCGTGTAAACAATCAGCAGGACGCACAGAAAAGAAACAGCCATGGCCGAGGCAGCGGCTGAGAAAAACATGGACACAACCCAACCCAAATCCCGACCTAAAACATCAGTGGTGTGGGAAAACTTCACCAAGACTGAAAAGGAAGGCGTTCAGTGCAACATTTGCAAAGACCGTTTTGCATGGCTCGGGAGTACATCGATGATGCGTGAGCACAGGGCTCTCAAGTCTCACGCATTCAGCGTATGACACACACATTCCCACTCGTTCACACGCTCACACACCACACATTGTATTTCTCACGCATTTAAATGAACACGGTGATGTCCACCAAGTTGCACTTCTTCAACTATGGAACTGGGGGAAATCAACTGAGTTCCTCCAAGAGTTCAGAAGCTGCGTGCCACGCACAAGCCAATCAAATAAAGTATATGTACTGAACAGCCAATCAAAAAGCAGCATTGCTGTATCCGGGTAGATTTTGATATCTTGCGGTTTAACTACAGAAGAAGACAGACACTCGCCGAAATAGTTCATTTATTTCATAAATGCAACTCGCTACAGTTTTTATATACTTTGTATAAAGGTAAAATATATATATATATATATATATATATATATGCAATGTTATCTTCACTTTAGATGTCAAAGAGGTTTTGTGGCTCCCTGTGTTTTCTTTTCTGTGGGAAACTGGTCCAAGTGGCTCTTTGAGTGTTTAAGGTTGCCGACCCCTGACATAGACTGTTTATAGAATGGACGCTGTCTGCCTCCTCGCTGGGTGAAGCCACCATGAAAACAGCACCCTCTGGTGACGGGCTGCAGTATAGGTTATAAATCCTGCCTCCTTATGGAGCTGTGGACAAACTTTAGACATTTATTACAGAAAATATAAATGTTTCTCCCCCCTGGTTGATACAGCCTAAAGGCGTATGAATATCACGTAGCTAACCGGGGGGATACGCTCATTGAGGCGAGCGTCATCACAGCGTCTGTTCCGCTAAACGTGTACAACACTACTGCGCAGGTGGTGGTTCCAGGAAGTGGAGAAAATCCAGGAAATACAGAGAGCAATTCGGCCTCCAATTCATATAATGACGGGAGGCGGAGCCAAGTCGTCCAGAGTTTTTACAGTCTATGGTTGGAAACAGTGAGTGAAGGTGAGATTGTGACCACTGACACTGCAAAATCTTGACGAGCATATTTATATTTATTTCGTAAGACATCTGCGGAGAAGCCTCTCGGATTTCACTGTGCGTTAATCCGCATAATAACAAATAAAGGCCACTCTATTCTATTCTATGTGCCATGAGTGGAAACAGGCCCTTACACGGTCGTCTCTCCCCTCAGTGTCCCAGAGCAGGACACTCAAACCCCCGTCTGCTCTGAGCTGTGAATAAAAGCGATTAGTTAATACTGATGGGCACTTTAATAACATCTGCTGCCATCAGCGCATGAATGTGTGATGAATGGGTGAATGTGACATGTGGTCTCAGATTAGAAAAGAGCCGTGTGAGTACAGTCCATTACTGTCCTGATCGACACATTTACAGCAGAGTCGAGCTCCTCCTCCTTCTTCTTCTTCTTTTCTGTCTGTATAATCGAAGTTTACGTCCATCTCTGTGTGTCTGACAGTCGTTCACTTTAAACACACACTCTCAACATTGCATACATGATTGCCTTTATTCCATGCATGGCATACAATAATGGTCATTCTCTTAAATAAAAAGCATTTCTATATATTCAGATTCAATACTCCTGTGTCCAGTGGTGAATATTTTTGAGATTAATGGCAAAAACTTTCAGAAGGATAATTCATCTGATATAATGAGGACTATATTAAACACCTGGATGGACTCTTACTCTGCAGATATCTCGATTCAAACTCGTCAAGCTCCGTCAGGAATATCCAAAATAACTAAACGTTAATGGATCTCTGCTGGAGCGGCTGCTGCTGTTCAAACAGAAGTAAAATCGATTTGTTTTAACGGAGCGACAATAAAAGAGCTGAGAGGAATTTAGCCAGACAAACGCCTCGGTATTTTAGCTCTGAATGCAGCCGACGATCATTAGAGTCAGGGACGTTTTGTTGTGTAAGCCACTTGTGTTGAAGGAGCTGCCTCTGTTCTCACAAAGGCGAAACGCCGTTGTTCCGACACGTTCAGACACGAATTACAAACAAAACAAACCGCACAGAGCGAGCTTAAAAACGTGTTTCAGCTCCAAACTGGTTAAACTTTCATTCTCAAGAAGAAGCACCTGATTGTACAAAATATCACTGAGAGTATTACTGATATAAATCCACAGTTACATACAATTACTCTGCTGAACATTCATCACATTTGATCTGAACCGAAGCTTCATTTCTCTAAAAAGTGGCGTTTTCTGGGCGGGGGGAGTAAAACTGCTCAAAAGTCCTGTCTTTGTCCTGAAGCAGAAAAAGTACACAATCCTCCTGGAGGTGAGCTCAGCCCTCATCCTTCAGTATTCGCCGTGCAGGCCGTCATACAAAGCTCTCCTCCATGTTGGAACACAGCAGGAAAGAGTCGACCAGCCGGGGTTTGATCAGCTGCTGGTGGTCTGCTGCCTCAATGCTGTCTGGACACCCTGCTGCCAGCCTCCTCAAGGCAGCCTGGAGACACACAAACACAGGAACACACACACACACACACACACAGGAACACACACACACACACACACAGACAGGAACACACACACACAGTTCAGTATGATTGTGCACAAACCAAAGGATACACACATTTTACACGATCACATGTTTTGGTGTTGTGCTGCTCTGCAGAGACGGAGGCGATCCTGCACTCTTGACTCTCCATGTTGTGCTGAACTGTGAATCTAAAATCTATTAATTTCATCTTTTATATTTATTTTTATTTCAGCCAATATTTAGAAATAATTTGCTCTATCCCTTTAATGCCTGAAACCACAAATTATGGCCAGAAAATTCAGTTTTTTTGGAGCTGAAATCTTTATTTCAAAAACTCTAAATGTCCTTAAAATTTAACAAATATATTTATTTATCTCGTTTGATACATCAGATGTTTTTGGAAACTAATAAACTACAAGAGGACATTTTTATCATTTATCCGACTGTGTTCAGGTGTTTTTTTAGTAATTCGTTGATCATATTTAATAGAAGTATATAAAAGTATGTATCAAATATGATTAAAAAAAGGCATTAAAGGGTTAAATAACATTTGTTTTTTTAGTTTATTTTAACTTTTTTCGCCTTTATTTTGATCGGACATGATAGGTAGAAAATGTCGGAGGAGACAGACTGACACCCTCTCTGTTGTATCATTCGTTACGCCGACGACACCATCATTTATTGTAGTTTATATTTTACAGTCAGCTTTTAATGTCTGTGGAAACTCAGGAAAATCAAGGTCATGTTATTCTCTGATTCAGCTGAGTTACAGAAGTCTGTAGAACTAAAGATATCGATCGACAGCTACCGTTTCAATCTCAGGATGAAACTTTAACTTCAGAATAGATCCTGCTTTGTCGTGATGTTGTGCTCACACCAAATGTGAGTAAAATCATTCCTGAAAGTGAACTTTACGTAGAATCAAAGTAAAGACGTGATCAGATGTGAATGAGGCGGAGACACGTGCAAATGGCAAGAATCTGGGGTTCTGCTCGCTTTTAACAGCATGGTGATTCACTGGTCACGTATGTCAACGTCAGACCGGATGAATTTATTTCATGTGGGACTTAAAGGACCGACTAACTGATGGTGATGTTAGTGAGTTCCTCAGATATAAGATAGAGGAATATGAAGGAACTTCTGTGGGAAAAGGTCGGATCATCTGGTATCAAGTAGGGGTGTCCCGATAAAACTTTTTTATTTCTGATACGATACTGATATTGATCTGATATTGGCACAAAATTGTGTATGACAAGTTTCTTTTTCAGACTTGAACAAAAATACCAACAGACGGCCGACATCACTCCGACTCCTCTCTACTTTGTTAGTATCTTAGTACACACTGTTGTTGTGATCACTTGTGCTCTGCATGCTGGATCTGGGCGCTGCTAGAAAGAGGAGTCTGGATCCAGGCCGATATAATCCAATATTAATTTTTTTTGCTGATATCAGACCGATATCGGGTATCAATATTGTGTCGGGACACGCCTAGTATCAAGTGAACCCCTCTTCTCTAAATCCTGCGGGTTTGAGCGGTAACCCCCAATTTCAACCACATCCAGAATAGCTACGAAAAGGCCGTATCGTAGGGCGTAGATTTCCTCCTCTCAAAGGACACAATCTACTGCTTATATGGTTAGCATCTGTGGCTAAGAGACTACTTGCTGTAGGAATCGGCAGATGGCAAAAAATCACTGCTGTTCCGGATCGGAGCCATTCAGGATGCAGTGAAAATTGGGGGTAAGTCTGTTTCTACGATGCAAGCAGTCCATTCCAGATTCCGCTCCGGCTCCTCTATCTAGCAGCGCCCTGATCCAGCAGGTAGAGCCCACATAACAACAACAGTGTGTGCTAAGGTATGAACAAAGTAAAGAGGAGTAGGAGTGATGTCGGCCGTGTTGCAGTTGAGTGCAAAACTTTGTACCAATATCATATCAATATCAGTATCGGCCAATACTGAAGGCTCCAATATCGGTATCGTATCGGGGTAAAAAAGTTGTATCAGGACACCCCTAGAGGTAAATGAGTGATGTCCCTGAGTCGATGTTTTTTATCCATGTTTGAGAACCGCTCCATTTTTCCTCTAATAAACATAAAAGCTGTTCAGCCGATGACCCACTTTGTTGACGACTAACAGGATCCTGAACTAAATTCAGCTTCTTTTTCAAAGTTCATGTCTGAATATCTTCCCTCTCGTTTTGTGATTATCTTGGTTTGGACCTGCGATTTCTCGAACCTCTTTAACATCACAGATTACAAATGATCTGAAACGCTCGGCGCCCTTTGAAGGTAAAATTCAACAACTACAAATGCTCCGCTGCTGCTTAACCCTTGGCAATCGGGATAAAATAGAATCACATTAATTTGAATAGACTGATGATGAGTGTGGTTACAGTGAAGAAAAGGGCATTTCTTCTTCTCTGCGTAGCGAGGCAGCCCAATTAGGCTCCTCCTGACCATTACAACGCCTCAAAGATCTGGTCTCAATAATGATGATGATCAGAATGAGAGGATGATAAAACCCGAGCAGGGGTTTTATTCATGAGATGTACATATTTAAACATACAACGTTTGAGATGATGTGCACATGTCAGCTTTCTCCACATGGCTCAGAGATACTGAGGTTGTGATATATCTCAAATTTCCGACATTGCCCTGTGGATGTAATTAAAGTGGACCGTCATCTGATGTTACACGTGCAGCTTTGTGGTGTAATACCCAGAGTACAGCAAACCCAGCTGTAAACGTATATCATAGCAGGAGGCTGGACTGAAACAGGCAGTTCGAATGTTTGAATGAAGTATTTGTATTCAGGACAAGAAGTCGTGTTCGCTGACACACACACAGCGGCGTACGCTCGCTTCAGACCTACCAGGCAGGCAACCAGCACCGAGTCGCTGTTATTTCTCTCAGTAGGGGAGCGACACAACTCAATAAGGCGGGGAACAGCTGAAGAGAGCAGGGAAATATTCAGTTACAAGCATGTCGTATTTTTCAAACATATCAAACAACTGTAAATAGAAGAAAAGGTCGTTTTTTAATACACTGTTTTTAACCGTTATCTGAATTAAAACAAAGACGCTGTAAGATGAAATGACTTAATGCACATACAGGGTGGATTTAAAAGTCTGAATATTGTCTTTTTAAAACTCGGCCTCTATCAGCCACCTGTAACTTCAGGACCAGCGAACATGTTCAAACATGCTCTGCCATTGATATCTAAAATCAGCCGTTAAAGACTCGTCTCCTCTCTTCGGCCTTCCTTTTGAGGAGATGTGGTCCTGTTTAGATGTGCTGTAAAAATAGAGTTGACTTCCTTATTTCAGTCACTTCTGCGCCAAATATGTTAATTTCCTCTCATTCGATTGATTTATGGAGTTTTTTAAAGCACTCAAGGATGACAGCTGAAAATCTGAGCATTAAACTGAAGCTCTTAGATGACATCCTCTGGCCTGTTACATAATCTTTTTTTTTTTCCTCTTTAAAATACTAAATCAAGTTGTTATTAAAGCCTCACAGGGATCTAAATCAACACATTGTGTCAATTTTAGTATTTAGTCAGCTTTTTAATATACATGGAGAACCTCAGGGCTCAATTCTGGGGCCGTTTTTGTTATAATCGTGCTTATAAATACACTCGACTTTCCTCAGCCCAAATAGTTTACCATCAGCTTTTAATCAAAACATCCTTTTCAGACAAATACTTGATTCTCATTGGTGCCATAATTTAATGAAAGAAGACCATCTAACCACGCACTGTCTAAAGTCTTACATTAAAGCTCCTGTAGGGAGTTTTTGGCTGTTTATGTGACGAACTCAAATCTATAACAGTGTCTTTATATGAGCTAGAAATAATTAAACTAGAACGTATGAAGACTGAGCTGCAAATATTAAAGCCCAAAACTGCTGGCAGGGGGGAGGTGCCAGGTTTACGGAGGAGGATGTCTGCACATCCAGGGCCACAAAAAAAGAAAAAAGAAAGAAAGTAAAAAAATAAGGTCCAAGATTTTTTTTTATTATCATAATTCTGAGTTTAAAGTCAGAATTATGAGAATTATGAGTAGGCAATATGATAAAAAAATAATATTGGACCTGTTGTCTTTTTTTCTTGTGGCCCTAATCCTCTTCCATACATGTTAGAGCCCAATAAATATGTAATAAAGCCCAAAATGTAATAACTAGTCGATAATGTAACAAAATGCTGAGCTCAAAATGTAGCAACTTGTTACATTTTTGGTTTTATTATATTTTTTTATTACATTTCGGGCTCAACACTTTTGTTACATTATTGGCAAATTGTTAAATTTTTGGTTTTATAATATTTTTACTACAGTTTTATTACACTTTTTTATTACATTTCGGGTTTTATCACATTTTTTTAACTACATTTTTGGGTTGCTGTTACATTTTTTGTTTTATTATATTTTTATTACAGATTTTATTACACTTTTTTTATTACATTTTATGTCATTGTTACATTTTGGGCTTTTTGTTGAGTAAAAAGTTCAGAAGGATCAGAACACTTTCAGGATGAAGACTACAGGGGGCGCCACAATCCACACAAACCAAAGGTCCTCACAGGAGCTTTAACTCTATTCACTTGTTATCCACCTTTTTGTTCGTGACGTTCTCACTCAGCAAACATTTTAAATCCATAAAGTTTTAAACTTTTATTAAACAAAGAAAAGGTTCAGTTTTATACAAAAGTAAGAGTGTTTGAACTGAAATCGCTCTTATAGGAAATATTTCATCTGTGCTGTTTCTTTTTAAAATCTTTATTTTTTGTGTGTTTCGAAAATTCAAGATTATGATCGTGATTCTTCTTTGGATTTTGAGCTCAAAAAACATCAAATTTAGTAAATTATTAAGCTCAAGTGTTAATAAACTTTAAACAGTGTAACCCACGCTCGACCCTCACTCCTCCTCAGGTCTGATATCTAATAAAATATAAAGCAATTCTTTTATTATTTTTTATTTAATGCTGTAAAAATATAATTTAGCAGAAAAGTTGGTGAAATAAAAATGAAATTCTGCTCCACCTTTCAGCTGAATGGCTGTTTGGGCCACATCAGCATCTCTGCTCAGACGGGCCAGAGTCACAGCAGCTTTCTGCTGAACTCGCTCGCAGGCGGCGCCCTCCGATGGGCTGGGGGAGGACGGCTTTTCTCCCAGCAGCAGCAGCAGGCGCTCAATTCCTAAAAGATGAAAGGAGGAGTTAAAAGAGAGAAAAACCAAAGAGATGAAGGTGAAAGGAGAGGCGACACATGGGACCAACCGGAGGTGAAGAAGAAGCAAAGACTAGGAACCAAGTAAGTAAAATCAGCAGTTTTATTTAGTTTGATTTAGTTTGATTTAGTTTATTTTTAACCAGGTTGGTCCCATTGAGATGACAAATCTCTTTTACGAGGGAGGCCTGGTAAAGAGCGCAGCAGCATCAAAGTTCCTACAACAGATCTCAACATTAAAACATTTACACACAGATGAGGTCGATCCTCATGATTTCACTAACGTTTTAAATTCATTTAGTGTCACAAGAACTTGAAGGTGAAGTTCAGACTGGAGTTTGTTTCAGGTATGAGGTGTTGAAAACCTAAAATCCTTCATGCTCAGTTCAGTTTTTACTTTGAGGAAAATTAACTGAATATCCACAGAACTGAGATTGTAACTTCAGTGCTGTCTTGTTAAGAGACGAGACAAATATGAAGGGATATTGCCCAGAGTGTGAGATTATAGCTGAGACATTTTCTCTGATTTACTTCAGTTTAATAAAGCGCTGAGGTTCATTTTTGTCAAACTTGGATATTCACTTCAGAAAGAAAGAAAAACGAAGCTGCAGAATTTATTTACTGAGCAGAGATCTGCAGGAAGTAAAACAGGGATTAGACTCCTCCACCTCTCTCTGTACTTTATACTGCATGAATTAAAACAAATAGAAAAAAAGACTAGATTAATTAAATATAACTGGAATAACAAAAAAGAATAAACTAAAAACTAAAAACAGAATTTAAAATAACAGCAGAAACACATTTCATACTCGTGCTCCGTGGACTGATTTCAGCTCTCTGATGCGATGCTGCCATCTTGTGGATTAAAACATGATTGCAAACTTTCTCTCTTGTGTGGGTATGAGGGAGACGGCTGGTGAGGCTGTTTTTAAGTCCTCCAGACCCGGTCTTTGGTGACCTTATAGCTCAGACCGGGAACAGGACACCAAAGATTAAAAACCGAGTGAGTTCGAGGAATCTAAGATTTCAGAGTCAGCGAGGAGCATAAATCAGAGGGCAGCTTGTGTTTTTGAGGATCTATAGAGAAAGAAAAACTGACGCTCCACTTTTTCCAAACTGTTAGATTGAAAACGTTGTAAAAGTTCACCTTGTTCTTGCAGAACTTCTGCAGCACACTGCTCCAAGACTGAGAGGTTCGCCAAGATCGTCACCACCTGAGACGAAAAACACCAACGAACCAGTCAGAGTTTTACATCTTAGTTTTGTTAATGTTATCTTCACAGACCAACAGCAGCAGGTCTCTGTGCACCTGGTCTTTGGAGTACGGGGTGTCCACTCTCTGGCGGTCCCTGCAGGCCTGCAGGAGGATCTGGATGGCGTTGAGCTGCAGCAGAATCTCACAGGCCATGCTGTCGAAGAAGGTGATGTTTGCCAAGGCTGCAGAGGCCAGGAGGAAAACCTCACCACAGGAGGCGCTCTCGCACAGCTCTAAGGGAGAAAAGAAGCACTCAGAGGTTCGTCTTGGCCTGTAACCCTCAAAGTTTCTCTGCTCCTCAGACTGTTTTTATGTCTTCTGCACCAAAACCCTGAACTTCGATTGAAAAATGAGTTTTTATAGCCTGAAATTGATCACAGAGGGAGTTTAAACTTTAGGATTTGGTCTCATAAATACTCTCAGTTTCCTCTTACTCTTACGTCTCCGTTGAAAAGCCTCACTGAGTCAAACCTCATCAAACTACAGTCAGAAGCTGTCCCTGCTCAGGTCTACGGTACGTCAGGAGTTGGTCCCCTGTCCCGTCCACTCACTGATGAGCGCGGTGACGATGTCGTGCATGCTCTCCAGGAAGCTGGCGAGGTGCTGAGTGGACGTGTGGTGAGGAGAGGTGATCTGAGCCACGACAGCCGCCGCCTCCGCCCTCGCTGCTTCCACGCTGCTCTCATCAGTCAGGATTTCTGCCAGACACAGGATCCCGTCCACCTGCAGGGAAGACCACAGACCAGATCACCGTTTATTAGACCGGTTACCTGGTGAAAGGTGGGGTAGTCCGGATCTGAGTAAGTGCCTGTTTTTAGGAGAAATCTTGAATGTAAACTCTACCCTTACAGCAAGCCCCGCCCACAAACAGACGCTCCTGCTCGCTCGTATCGTTCCAGTTAAATTCAGATATAATGCAGATAAATACTTCAGATCATTACAAATGGGGCCCAGTCAAGGTGAAAGTCAAAAGCATTGGTGCTACTGTAGATGCCGAAGCGTCCCCCATCGTTTATGTTGACCCGGCTTTTTAGCTCTTGTCCGGTCTACCTCCGTTTTAAGCGCCCGTTATTCCTCCAGAGTCTCCGGTATTTACTTTGTTTTCTTGCTTGTGTCGGCAGTCGTGGCCAAAGGAGGATTCAGACAATTTTCCGAACTTTCTGGTTGGTTTCTACTGTCCGATATTGTAGCACGCTAACTTTGTTTGGGCTCCTGAACGACACGGGGAAACAGCATTTTCTTGCTGACTGTTTTCTTGTTGACTGTTTTGGTGTTGACTGTTTATGGTTGACTGTTTTTTGCTGACTGTTTTTTGTTGACTGTTTATGGTTGACTGTTTTCTTGCTGACTGTTTTTTGTTGACTGTTTTCTTGTTGACTGTTTTCTTGTTGACTGTTTTGGTGTTGACCGTTTTCCTGTTGACTGTTTTGGTGTTGACCGTTTTCCTGTTGACTGTTTTGGTGTTGACTGTTTATGGTTGACTGTTTTTTTGCTCACTCTTTTTTGTTGACTGTTTTCCTGTTGACTGTTTTCTTGTTGACTGATTATGGTTGACTGTTTTCTTGCTGACTGTTTTTTGTTGACTGTTTTCTTGTTGACTGTTTTGGTGTTGACCGTTTTCCTGTTGACTGTTTTGGTGTTGACTGTTTATGGTTGACTGTTTTTTGCTGACTGTTTTGGTGTTGACTGTTTATGGTTGACTGTTTTTTGCTGACTGTTTTTTGTCGACTGTTTATGGTTGACTGTTTTCTTGTTGACTGATTATGGTTGACTGTTTTCTTGCTGACTGTTTTCTTGTTGACTGTTTTCTTGTTGACTGTTTTGGTGTTGACCGTTTTCCTGTTGACTGTTTTGGTGTTGACTGTTTATGGTTGACTGTTTTTTGCTGACTGTTTTTTGTTGACCGTTTTCCTGTTGACTGTTTTCTTGTTGACTGATTATGGTTGACTGTTTTCTTGCTGACTGTTTTTTGTTGACTGTTTTCTTGTTGACTGTTTTCTTGCTGACTGTTTTTTTGCTGACTGTTTTCTTGTTGACTGATTATAGTTGACGTTTTCTTGTTGACTGTTTTCTTGCTGACTGTTTATGTTTGACTGTTTTCTTGCTTGTGTCGGCAGTCGTGGCCAAAGGAGGATTCAGACAATTTTCCGAACTTTCTGGTTGGTTTCTACTGTCCGATATTGTAGCACGCTAACTTTGTTTGGGCTCCTGAACGACACGGGGGAGCAGCGTCTGCCTCACAACCAATCAGGTTAGAGGAGGTGGAGAACGGCTTTGTTTACAGTCAGAAAGAGCGGACCGCTCAAAAATGTTAAAATGTTGACGACGCAGACATAAGAGAACACAGAGATATCGATATATTACCAAATAATCAATAACTAATAACTATTGACTGATATTAAACGCTTTTTGTTTTATCACCACAAAAAAAAAATGCTTCTTTAACAGGTTCCTGCCGACCCCACCTTTAAGAGGTTTCAGAGCGCACAGGTGAGGAGGAGGAGGAGTGAGACTCAAACCTCGACTCCACGCTTCATCTCCACTCTGCAGGCTGGAACTCACAGCTCTGCCCATAAAACCATCACAATTAAAACACAGCACTCAGATTTAATGGCCGCCTCGGGGGGGTGAATCTGGCGGGGACCCAGAGCGAGAGCATCATGGGGTTCAGAGAGGAGCAGGAAGTTTTAACAACTTGATAAATTAAAGTTTATGAAGGAGCAGCAGGTCCGATTTGTTCCATGTCGGTGTTTTCACGTGTGTGTGGGAATACAGAAGCTTCTGGAACTGACGGACATGTAGAGCCGATCTCTGTCCACTTGGGGGCAGTATTGAACAGCTCTTGGACACTTTTTCTGCATGTGTCAGAAAAGTTCCTCAGACATGGTGAATAATTCAGAACACACTTTGGACATCATGTCTAACATCAGTTCAGATTCAGGGTCTTTTTCACCGGTCACCATGGAGACTGACAGTATGTCCGCCCTGTGATGGTGTGATATCAGAAGTGTTTCGTTTGTGTCATTCACATTCATGATTGTTTGTAATGTGAAGTTTTCTCAGTCAGAGTGAGGCGAGCCGTCAGCTCTCAGGCAGACGTACACCTGTCACTCTCCTCCGCTGACGAGCATCAGCGCTCAGCTTCGCAGGGCGATTCCCTATTTTTGTCTCTGTGGACGTCAGCAGCAGTGTGGCAGCGCGACCCACTGACGTGGAACAATCCACTCTCCACCCCCCCCTCCTAAAACAGGATATTCCCAAACTCCTCATTTACTGAACGGCGGATGTTTCTCACTCAACGCCAAATAACTTTCTGCATTTTTAAGAGGAATACGAAGTCAACAACGCCGACTCTCTGGAAGTTTTCACTTGTTTACATCAGCCGCTGACAAAATCTGACCTAAATCTGCTGCTTTAAGTCGGTGAGATTTTTATCAACAACCAAATCCAAAACAATCCCGATGATCTGCAGGTTCAGTAATTTCAATAAAATGTTTCTGATGGAGAGATTTTATCATTTAGAGAAGATAAACTCAGAGAAAGACTCAGAATATGAAGAAAACAGTTGAACAGCATTAAAAACAGACACAACTCTGCAGTGGAAATCTCCGCATTGACTCAGAAAAACCTTCAATGTGAACCAGGGCTGCACGATTTTGTTTCTCAGAAAATTCTCATTTTTTTATTCAGCGACAACTTCACCAAACTTCACTGAAATGATTAGGGCCCGACCGATATGGATTTTTTGGGCTGATACAGATTATTAGGAGGGAAAAAATCCGATTACCGATTAATCTATCATCGTCCCTCAAAATAAAACCACTAAAAACGATGTAGTTCATATGCCAAGCCAGTAAGTGGCGCTGTAACGCTGCACAGGAAATGCACAAAAGACAGAAGAAGAGTACAGAGCATGAGTATAAAGGTTGTTTCGGCGCCATAAAAGAGTCACTCTGTGTGTCACATGATCATTTCCAGAGATGCAGATAGACATCCACACGGAGATGAAATGGTCGTCGTTTACAGATTTATTCACTCTCTGACCCGTTTACAGTCACTCAAAACGCTGTTTCCGTGTGAATGAAACGCCGATACGACTAAAAACTTTCGCGTTTCCTCCTGAATTTGTTTCCATGGTAACGGGTTGATACCGCCTTCAGACAGACTTTACAGCGGGGAGTGGTTTACTCTCCATCTGAAACTGTGAAGTCGTACCAATTCAACACGACTGACTCGCTCTTCTCCTATTTAACCACGAAATTATCGCCTTCTTTTGCAAACGCCATGTTTGTTTACACTGGCGTGTGGGGGAAGGAGGAGCCTACGGTGGCCTGGAGGCGCGAGACATGATAGAGAGGAAAATGGATTTGAGGATTTTAATTTTTTAACATCGTCTTAATCAAATAATCCAATTTAAAATCGATTAATCGTGCAGCTCTAGTGTGAACCCGGCTCACGGCTGCATCCGTGAATGCAGGTATAGATAAAAACATGATGCAGGAATGAGCAGATTATCTTGGTTTCATCTCATGTACAGAAGCTCTCGTCCTGGAAGTGAGCAGCTGGGTTTGATTACAACCTCTCTCTCCTTGTTTCCTTTCCTATCCTCTCATTTAGTATCCTACACAGCTTCCCGACTTTCCTGAAAGGAGTTTTCAATCATTGAAATTATCCTTTTACAAAAAGACTGTTTCCCAAAAGTGATTGCAGAGCTGAAGAATAAAGGTTTCATCCACATAAGTACACTGCTTCAAGAGGGGACTGTTTTTATTTGTGTGTGTGTGTGTGTGTGTGTGTGTGTGTGTGTGTGTGTGTGTGTGTGTGTGTGTGTACACTCCTGCAGGCAGCAGCTTCACGCCACTGTATCTGGATTACTCATCCTGTCTGTGTGTCATGTCTGTTTTGGGCTGTTTTCAAATGATGTGACCCAACACAACTCAGCCAGTCTGTGTCCAACTTTACAGCTACTTTAGTTTCAGGAGAAGGTCCGCAGGAATACGTAGCTAACTGTCTCCTCCTCTTTCACTCTCCCGTCCTGCACCCCTCCTTTCCGATCTCTTTTCCCTCACTGTCTATCCTCCTTTCCACAGGGTCATCTGGGGGTCACGCCTGAAAGCCTCGGTGGAGCCCCTACCGAAGCCTTGTGCCACTGAGTCGACTTTATTTGACTTTCAAGTAAAATGAAACTTGGGGATCATATCTTAGCTCTCCGTGAAAATTCAACACTCGGAGCATTAAGTCGACTTTTAAAAATCTTTCATCTTGAGCAGATTGATCGGTAATCGGTAAATCCATCAAAATAGTGCTGGTCGATTAATCAAATTTTGTCTTCTCACGATCTTAAAAACATCGTAATCGAGGGAAACGATTAATGGCGTGTATGTAAACTCCTGCGTTGAGAGAAACACCTTAAATGCACCCCCGTTAAGGTGCAAAATGGGAAACGAGTGATTGAACACGTGGCAGAAAGGAGGCGTTTGATTGAGAAGAAAAGAAGAACAACTTCAGTTATCAGGAAACATTTTGGCTCCAAGTTGACGGACGTCGAGCAAAAGGAAATTGTTAGCAAAGTTTGTCACGTTGTCGTGTCCGCTCACGTGGGCAACACAACCGACTTCAGGGTTTTCCTTTTACACAAGTGACCGTGGCACATCGGTACAGCTAAATAAAAGCCGACATGCCTTAAAAATGAGTTTTTTTATATTTTATTTTATTTTATTTTATTCGCTCTAACTTGGACTCATAAATATCAATAAATGTGCTGCACATGGGTGCTGCACCGCGGAGCACACACACCATATATTAGCAGGTTATCGTATCGGATATCAGATTATTTTTTTAATTTTTACTTGTTAGTAATTTATTTCTGATTGTTCTGTTAAAAGGGTTTTAAGTGCGCCTTATAGTGCGAAAAATACGGTATGTTATATTTGAGGTTGAGTTTCGATGGTTTGATAAATACTCAAGTTTTGAAATCAATGAATAATCGTGTTTATTAATCATGATTTCAGAATCAATCAAAATAATCGTGATCATTATTTTTGTCGTAATCGTCCAGCCCGACATCAAACAGACTAAACTTGGACTTTAGTATAATTAAGTTTACTTGGTGGTGGTATTTGAGTACTTTTCCAACGCTTCCCGGCACCAAAATTAGGGCTGGGCGATACGGCCTCAAATCAATATCACGATATATTGATCAGCCTACACACCTACCTACACACATCCAAAACCAACTTTTATTTATTTATTTTTTGACACAGAATGTACCGATATGATGTCGGTTAATGTTGTAAATTTCCGTATCGGTAAATTTTTGGTTTATCGCCCAGCCCTAACCAAAAGCTCAGTGATTTTTATTAAAAAGACTAAAAAGTAAGAATCTCGTCTACACCCAGAGTTCCTGCACAGTTATAAGGACAGAGGAATCATTAATATCTTCAGTGTTGATGGGAATCTTTAAATAACATCTATTATTTCTGTTGCAGTAGCCTCAAACAACATCAGCAGGGATCTCCCCACTGCCGCCTCCCCAGAAAACGTCATTGGCCAACACCTCCGCCCGAGTGTCTGAGCTTCAGACACCCTCCGATCACCTTACTGCCCTGTAGAGTTCAGGCACCAAACTCGAGCTCGGTCTAAAACCAACTCTGTAAAAGGTCTGATTTTAAATCACCGGATTAAAGTGCAATCAGACATCGATACTTCATATATGAGACAGGAAACGGGGAACAGGCAGAACACGCAGGAAGAGAAAACCTCCACAGCTGAGGGTCAAGCAGTACCAGCCGGTCAGCAGAGAGGTCCAGAGCTGACCCTCTCGGGGGACAGCCGGTGGGACTGCTGCAACGAATCTGCGTCAGCGCAAAGAGAATCGGAGTGACTGTGCTGTCGTGAAAGGCCAGAGACTCCAGGGAGAGCCTGGAAGTCCAGGATTTCAGTAGTAACCTGAGAAACAGTTCCTCAGCCTGAACCCCCGTCCATGTCTGAGACCCACCGGAGTTTAAACCAGAACTGGAACAGTTTTAAAGGCTGATTGTGTAAGTTTACGTCTCCGCACGATAAGAGTGTCCGTTCAAGGTCGAGGGTCTAAGGAGTTCTGGTTTTGGTCGGTTTCAAACACATTTTACAGGGTTCCTTCACAGTTGGAATTTCCATTATTTTCTACACCCTTATTTTTGGAAATACTTTTCTATTTTCAGAAAACAGTATTTAAGGACTAGTACCAGTACCAGATAAGCACATGAAACTATAGTAACAACCGTTAGCTTACGTTAGCACAGATGAAAGTTCAAACAAAGACGTTTATCAAACTGTTAAAGCTCACAAACCATCGTCATATGAGAAATCCGGCGCTATGACTCTCCACAAGTCGTCCTTCAGGTCGTTATCTTTGTGATATTTGTGTCTTTTATCAAAAATCACTCTGTTCTCCGACACGTAAACAATCAGCCGGTCGGCCATGTTGGATATACCGGTGAATCTGACGTCGCAACAACACGGAATCCGATTGGTCAGAAGTGGACACACAGTCTGAGAAACTTTGGAAAATTCGATCGTGATCCGAAAAAATAAATGCCGCAATATCGCAGGACGGAAAAACGTCGCTGATGTGAACGCTTGTATTGACAGGATACGGGTTCGAAAAAAATATTGACGTCCGATAAAAATGGTCCTGGTGTGAAAGGACCTCTAGACCACAAGGAGGCACTGCATCAAAAACAGGCATGACTCTGTAGTTGGAACCACGACTTGGGCTCTGAGTCAGACCCAGAAACACAGTTTGTTGCTTCATCCACAGAAACAGGTTTGAAAGGAGGAAACTGTTCAGGATTTAGAAATGACAATAATAACATGGCTCTTTTAAAGTTTAAAGTTTTCGTGGTTCAAATCGATACTCCTCCCAGTCACCGTGTTGTGGTTACATAACGTTCCAGCGGGGGATGAAACTTTGAGTATACAGTGAATCCATCAATGAGCAGCACAGATGCGTACCGGCCCCTTCCCTCCATCACCTCTCATCAGTGACAGGTGTGTTTCTTAAGCCTGAGCGGGCGCCGCTGAGTGGAGCCTGACAGCGTCTCTCCCGGGATGACGTGCTAATCTGAGGCGGACCTTGGTTCCCGTTTAAGAGCTTTCACACTCGGATGATTCGCGCTGTCCCAGCTGCTGTATACGCGGGCGCAGACACCGCTGTGGCTTCATTATTCGCCACATTCAGGTTATATTTGTGTGTCTGTGAACGCTCGGTTGACACAGGTGTGTCTGCTGTTTATTTTGGTGGAAATCTCGACAGAGAACAAAAAAAAAAGGAGAGGATGTATCATTAGCTTCCTGTCCTCTGCGTTCACAACACAACAGAGGGAGGGTGGTTGAGGTCTGGATGTCTGACCTGTCAGCTCGCTGCTCTAAAGGTCTTATGTAATGATCTCATGTCTGTAAACATGACTCATCTTTCTGTGTATCGTGCTGCCATAACAAACACGGATAACATGACATGAGATAAACACCACGCTGATTTTACTGCCTCAAACAGTGAAGGGAAGGTTACAGAGAAAGATACGCTTTTTTTAATCTGTATTTTATTTAATCTGTACCTGGGAGAGAAGACGGATCACAGACAACTTGAGCAAGAGTGAACAGCTTCAGCAGATTTGACGTAATCTGTGGATGTTTATGGATATAGTGTGGTGTGTAGTCTGGAGCTGGATTAAGAGGGCCCTCTCTGCTGCATTCATACAGGGTTGGACCGTCAAACTTTAAATTGGTTTTATAGTTTTTTCCCGTACCTGTGTAAACATCTTTGCTAACAGATAAAAAACTATTAGAGTTAAATTTTTGATCAACTGTCTCCAACTCTGTGTGACAGTGTTGAAGAAACATAAAATGAGCTCCATATACTTCAAACTAGGGCTGCACGATTAATCGATTTAAACCATAATCAGATTATTTGACTATGACGATGTTAAAAAAATTAAAATCATCAAATCGATTTTCCTCTCTATCATGTCTCGCGCCTCCAGGCCACCGTAGATTCCCCCTTCCTGCGGGAGCGCTCCCCAGTTCCCACACACACCAGTGTAAACAAACATGGCGTTTGCTAAAGAAGGCGATAATTTCGTGGTTAAATAGGAGAAGAGCGAGTCAGTCGTGTTGAATTGGTACGACTTCACAGTTTCAGATGAAGAGTAAACCACTCCCCGCTGTAAAGTCTGTCTGAAGTCGGTATCAACCCGTCACCACGGAAACGAATTCAGGAGGAAACGCTAAAGTTTTTTTGACGTATCAGAAACGGTGTTTCAGGTGACTGTAAACGGTACTTTTTTAAAAACAGGTCAGAGAGTGAATAAATCTGTAAACGACGACCATTTCATCTCTGTGTGGATGTCTATCTGCATCTCTGGAAACGATCATGTGACACACAGAGTAACTCTTTCATGGCGCCAAAACAACCTTTATACACATGCTCTGTACTCTTCTTCTGTCTTTTGTGCATTTCCTGGGCAGCGTTACAGCGCCACTTACTGGCTTGGCATATGCACTACATCGTTTTCAGTGGTTTGGTTTTGAGAGATGATAGAAAAACTTTATTAAAGTGAAGTTTAGAGTGAAGTTGTCAATAAATAAAAATCGAAAATCGAGTTTTTAGAGTACTGTACACACACACGTCATGCTTGCAGAGACGTTGGATGATTTAGTTTCACCATCAGGCCTCTGTGACAATCATAATCTCGTCTTTTACCGATCTACGCACTCATAAGAGATGAAAACACGGAAAGTTCACCGTCTTAAAAAACGTCTATGTGACCACGACCAGTAAAGAATGTTTCCAGTTAAGACTCATGATGAGTTTGACTGAAAAGACACCAAGATGAGAAAAATATGACAGGTCCAGATAAGTAAAATTTAACGGTAAGTCCACAGGGGGCGCCGTAATCTCCACAAACTGAGAGTTCCCCACTGGAGCTTTAATAATAAATGAGCTGGTCTTGTTTATGTAACTCCTCACTGGTCAGTGATGGTGTTAGATTTAGAGAACAGGAAGTTGATGATTTTGTTTCCCAGAGGAGAAACAAATACCCTCTCTTCTTTATTTTCACTGCTGATCCTTCGATCTCATAATGACACACTTTGTTTCTGCGCAGCTCGAAGTCCTGCTGCTGCCTTTGTTGGCACACATCAGCTGTGAAAACAAACTCCACTTCCAGTCATAACACGAGGAGTGAGAGTCTGAGCGAACCTCGTGCTGCTGATAAACACACCGAGTCTGGACTGCAGGAGAACTACAGACTACAGACGGATGCTGTCTCATTTACTCTCTGTTTGAGTCTCATACACACGCGCTGACTCGGTGTTTCTGCTAAAATAAATCTGTGCCGTTTGACTCTGCGTGTTTCTCCTCCAAAAACGTGAAACCTCTCCAGCTGTCTGCGTCTCAACCTCGCTGTGATTACGAAGACCTTTTTTCTTTGGGTTTCTCACATCAGTGATTTATTTTTATTTTTTTTACCTTATCCAGTTGGTTGATGCCCTCCTCCACGCAGCAGATGGAGGCCACAGTCCTCAGGGCGTGGGCGTACAGCTCTCTGAAGCGGTCCTGTCTGCAGATCTTAAACAGAGCGACCACGGCGCCCTCCTGTGAGAAAGACAAAACATCTTAGTGTCTGAAAACCCAACAGGAAGTCCACGAACCACCCAGTCCACCTAGAGGTCCCACCTGATCAGGTCCTCAGAGTCAGGTCCACACGTTAAAGGTCCTTACACACCAGGAGTGTTTTTATCGTGTGATTATTTTGAATATTTTTTTTCGAACCCATATCCTGGCTTTCAGTTTGTGCAAAACAAACAGATAAATATTGTGTATTTAACTGAAATTAGTGCAAATATGACCTCCATGTCCACCAACCCCTCACGTTTAAACATGTCGCTCTTTTTTATGTTTATTCAAGTGAACACTGAGTTTGGAGCTGTCAGAGGACAACAGAGGAGAAAGAAACTTTTGACTACTTTCACAGGCCTCGCATCCAAGGCCTCAAACCACAAAATTATACACCACACATCACAATGAGCCCTTGTCTTAAAAGCACACATGATTGTGCAGAATGATGGATCAGATTTCTCCTTGCTGGACTCCGCCGTGGGAGCCAAAAGGTCCCGCAGAGCGACGCCAACAGCAGCAGCAGCACGTTGCATCTAAAGAGTCCAGGAGACCCCGGGTGACCGGTGGATTTGGCCGGCTTTCGTCAGTGAGTCTGCCAACCACAGAACCCATCAGATAGCTTACACAATCCATCACGTCAGGTAGAGAAAGCCAAAATATACATATTTCATGAATGGAAAACAGTGAGCAGAGGGACGATGATTTGCAGTAATAGCTGAGCATTTTCTGCAAGACCACGCCGGGCGTAAACAAACAAAAATAGCTCCTGTGTTGGCACCGTGTCCGCACTAAAGCACCTCTCTGACTAAAAACGCTCGCAGGTATTGAATCCTATTCAGCACGCAGATAGAGAGAATTACCTGGAGGAAGACGCAGCCTGTAACTACCAACCATTATCCTAACAAGGCCATTATACGGGGCTGGCATGTCTCATATGCTGTGAAGGCCGCGCTGCAGGGGCTTGGAGTGAATAATCATCCTGCCCTCCAGCCCGACCGCTCCTCCAATCACAGCCTACGTTACATCGCTGCTCCAGCGTACCTGGAAGAACTGATGGACACAGACTCACAGGCTGATGTTGGACCTGGATCCTTTTTGTTTTTCTTTGAGAAATGATCCTCAGAGGGAATCACAACACAATTGTAATCTCAGCTCTTCTCGTTTTTATGATTTTATCTCACAGACTGAACAGGTGTAAAACCCAGGCAACACTTTCAAGAATCAGTCCCACAGTGTGCAAGTTTCCCACGTTCCCCAGCTCTCAGTTGCAGCAGCCTTTTTGTGTTGCTCTTATATCTACAGACTTTCTCCTGCTTCTCCTCCTCACAGATGATCGGACGTGTCTCTGCCTTTTATTCTTTCCCCTGTCAAACAACTTGCACTTCTTTTGTTTCCACTGACTTCATCCTCATTCCTTCAGTGGAGCCTGCAGAACACATTTATCCTCACGCTCTTGCGTTTTGGTACTTGCTGCATAAACACAATCATGTGAAACTTGACTACTTGACTAAAAATACCTCTCCTCTCCCTTTTGTTTGTATGCAGCAGCCTCCTCAGCGTGTAATTCCTTCCATCTCACAGTTTTCTGAGCTGAACTTTGAGCTCTGGCAGCAGCGCCAGAGGTCGTTTGAGCAAAAGGCCGTTAGTTAGAGTCTGAGCGATCACTTTCTTGTTTGCGTTTCCTCAGATCTCAACACAGACATCTTAACTTAATCAGTGCTGTTAAAGGATTTTGACGAATACTTCAGTTTTTTGTTTTCCACCAGAGGGCGCTCCCCCCCAACATGCGTCTAACCCCCAATTTTCACTGCATCTGGAACGGCAGCGATTTTCGCTGTCCGCCAATTCCTACCGGATCCGTTGGTGAAGCAAATTTTGAGGCGGATTACGAACAGCAGTAATCGCAAGAACGTCCAATCGCGCATAAAAGCAGTAGATTGTGTCCTTCCAGAAGAGGAAATCTACTTCTAGACTTCTAGAATCAGCATCTCCTCATCCATGGTGTCATCGGGGTGAAATGACGTCTAAAAACCTTTCACTTGTTCGTTTCCGCCCGTTTGCATGGTGTGAAATACGATCCTCCTGAAACACGGAGTGTTTTATTTTGAAAAGAAGACGGATGTTTTATTTTGTATCTGTGCCCGACTTCCTTTCCAGCACGGGTTAATCTGTACTGAATTTATCTGGCATGATCCGGCGTCTGGAAAAAATAGAACTGTTTCAATAAGCAGAAGAGTCTGGCGATCCGCAGCAGAACGGAAAGAGGCCGGTGGAAATTGACACGTTAACCTGAATGTACACAATCAGCTGCGACTGGCGGATTTATTTATTTTTTTGTACCTATCGACTCCAAATGGTCTGAAACGGGCTCCTAAAAAGGTCCTGGGCAGTGACTTTAACCCTAACCCCAAACACTTAAAATGTGTCTGATCTTGCTATAGACACTATAGCAAGATCAGACAAGATCTATAGTAAAGAAGGTAGCAGCCCCGGACAATCCCATTCACTTGAACACAGATTTTTTAAATTGCCCATAACTTTTGAACGCAACCTCGTAGAGACTTTGTTCCGATACCACTGAACTCAGGGTAAATGAAAAAGATTGTTTGGTTTTGGTACCAGATCTCGATTTTGTTCCCTTGAGAATTGCCCATTGGCGATTGTGGTTAAAACCCCTGAAAGGAGAGAGAGAAACACTGTCCTTTTTTCATATTTGATATGAACAGTTCTGTCAGTTTTTATTTATTTATTTTTTCACTTGAATTTGGATTTGGGATAACTGGAGTATCCGGAGAAAACTGTACATAAGTTTAATATTTAAAAGAGGTTCAGAGTTCTGCTTGAAAGTCTCTCCTTCGTAAAAATGTGTTTTTCCCTGTTTTTTTGTTTGACATGACCACGCTGCACTGAGCGGGCAATAACTAAACACAGGAGTGAGTTAGAGACTAACTCTTTCTTTTTTTCTGGTGAAAGCATCACCTCTTTCTTTTGAAATATTTCACTTAATTCTAGTCCGAGCACATGATATTCTGTGGGTCCTGAAAGATACAGAAATTTCTATTGTGGTCAATGATTGCACTGGGTAAAAATTGCATAAATGAAGCTGGAACTGAATGAGTTAATCTGTGAGCTAAACCCGGCTGCCCTCTCTGCTCACATGGCTTTGATATCTTTGACTACACCTGAGTTATCACTCCTGCAGTCCAAGGCCTTGATTGTCAAACACACACACACACACACACACACACACACACACACACACTTTCCTGCCACGTTCACATCAGTATCCATCAAGACGGGAAGGTAAACACCCAGACAGCTAACTCGCTTGTACATCACGACACCATTGCTCTGTAATATTTCAGCAGCTGTTTGATTTATGTCGAGCCACATGGTGCGGTATTAAACTCTGTCGGCTCATGGTGCATTTTTCACTTTTACGAGCCGCACATTTTCACTGTTGGGACTTTTGTTTCCTCCCAGAGTGCAAGAAGTGCACGTTAGGTGAAAACTGATGCTAAAACGACACCGTTTTAGTCCTTTAATCCTTCAGCCAAACAAATAAACTGGGAATAAATACTGAAAGGATTTTGGATAAAAATGTAATTTTCATTATGATTGGGTCAAAAAAGGCAGACGCAGATGCTGTTTAAAAGTATTTGTATGATTATTTGTGACCTGTTCATCCAATCATCACAAATTCGTCTCATTTATGTGATTATTCAGATTCTGAGTCTGAGTTTTAGTGCTTTAAGCAGCTCCACCCTTTAACATTTCACCTCAAACTTACATTACACTGAACATGAGAGGAATATAGACTGAGTGTGTTTTAAAGATGAGCCATATAGAGACGGCAAGGTGAGGATTTGTTTGCTCAAAGTTCACCTCTGTTGATTTTTGTCAAACATACAGACAATTAATGCAAAAAAAACCAAAAACAGGTGTAATAGCTCATCACTGACTGAATTTAACTTTAAAAGTCAATTATTCATTCAGAGCAGAAAACAGAGAGGATCAGAGTCTCTGCCAAACTTACTTTTTAGGCAGTGTTTAAAGCTATGATCAGCAATTTTTCTGTCTTTATCAAAGTGATACTAACCGCTGTGAAATCCTACCAGGTGAGACGAGTGTCGTGGCGACTCACAAGAACCCACAAGAACCCAAGAACGTTTGCATGGTGTGAAATATGAGCCGCCTGAAACACAGAGTGTTTTATTTTGAAAAGAAGACGAATGTTTTATTTTGAAATCTGTGCCCGACTTCCTTTCCAGCACGGGTTAATCATTGACACAGTAACTTGAATGGAAACGATCAGTGGCGATCAGCCTTTTCGTCGGTTTGTCTTGTGAAATAAAACATCCAATGTCTTCTTCTTTTGATAGATTATCACTGTTCTGGTCTTCATGTGTTACATACGAGAGTCCAAATATAAGTGTCCACTAAAACCCATAAATTCAGTAATAACAATCAAATCTACAAGACTTAACCCGACCTGGCGTGCCGGCGTTGTGGTCAATAAAACTGCCATCCAGCAACACCTGTTACCTGATGGAAAGTTCCTGCCTGAGTAGGACCCGAGACACAAAGGGGGACCTTAGCACACATGCTAATCTCTTAAGCTACGTTCACACTGCAGGTCATGATGCACAATTTGGATTTTTTGTTAAATCCGATCTTTTTGTGCGGTTGTTCACATTACAACAACGAATGTGGCATCTAATGTGAACGGAATGCGTCCGTGAAGTGACCCACATGTTTGTGATGTTGAACAATGGTGACGTTTGTCGCATATTGGTGACGTACAAGTCAGATAAACTTGCCTGAGCGTCCACACTGCAGTCACATCGGATACATATCTGATTTATATCCACATACTAAAGAGGCCTGGGTTGGATTAGAACAAATCAGAATTGACCTGTTCACACTTACATGAAAACAATCTGATATGAGTCAGATATGGTTAAAAAATCAGAATTGACCTACAGTGTGAACACAGCCTTAGAATGGTTCTTACAGGCAGAGTTGCCAACTCCTCAGTAAGGAAAGTCGCTAGTGGCTGACATAAAAGTCACAACAAGTCGCTAGATGACGTCATGGCCCAATTTGGGAGGAGAAGGAGGAGGAAAAGTCGTCCTCGGGTGTCTGTATTTGCTTTCATGTTAGTCTCTAAGCTTCAGAAAAAGTTGCTAGATTTGTCGCTGGCCGCTTTTTTGAAAATAAGTCGCTACGGTCTGAAAAGTTGCTAAATCTAGCTAGGTTGCCAATACTGCTTACAGGTGTCTTAAACTCCACTCTAAACACTCACAGGTGGATGTATGAGTTTTGGATCTGGACCAGATTTTTGGTCTAAACTGGAAGACACTTTCTGTATCCTCCAAATAGCATCACGCCACATTCGAGCCAGACCACACCTCATTTCAGAACTAGATCTGGATGCAATAGAAGTGATGACAGCAGATCGGAGCGTTTGACCGTGAGTCTCTGCCCTCTCTGTGTGCCCTACAACCTTTACAGGATCATAAAACGTGTCTGTAGGTCTACTGTAAAAATGAACAGTTGAAACACGGAGGAGGAGGATGTATGGAGGATAAAGGAGCTGGGAAGGATCTGCTGCTGCCACAATTAAAGTGAGATTGATGTAAATGACGAGTTTATATCTAATTTACACTCAATGCACTCATTTCCCATAAGGAGACGCCACCGCCTTAAACTCTCTGAAAGCTGATCATCGTTTTTGAACTCTGGCTCATCCATCTGACAGAGGAAATCTCTATTTGTATTGCTGCCGACTTTGTTTTCACACATCTTACCCGCCTTTTTACTCACTAAAACCACTCGATAATCATTTTCTATCAAAATAAACTCAAGATGAGAAATTTAAAAGGTGTAAAAATGTAGTTTCCGCTCTCATATTCTGGTTTTTAACAGCAGCTTCATAAAGAACAGCAGAGCCAGGGGACATGCTTGATGGTAAAGGGTGTGTATGTGAGAGTGTGACGGACAAACTGCTGCAGCCGGCTAATTAATGGAGCTAACAGGTGGAGGATGTTTTGTATTGGGTATTCATTAGCAGCCATTGAAAGGCAGATTTACTCCACACACCTCCTGAGGGATGCAGAGGGAGTTAAATAAGGTGGAGCGGACGGAGAGGTAAAGATGCCTGAGCAACCTGTGATCAATGCTCAGTCCTAATGGGAGCTGACAGTATTGATCCGACAATCTGGCAGTAAAGGAAGCGTGTGTGTCTGTGTGTGTGTGTGCGGGCCATCAGGAAGAGTCTTATCAAGAGTATCCTGGAAGCAGATGAGGAACTAATGTCTCACTGAGACTCTCTGTCTGGTCCGTCCGGTCTTATCGCTCAGGGAGAGAGCTTTTTAGGAGAGATAGCTGCAGGGCTGCTGTTGCTGCTGCTGCTCTGGAGGATGAGAAAGGTGGAGCTGATCCCAGAGAGGAAAGAGAAAGGGGGTGGAGGTGGAACATCAAATGGAGAGGCCTCTGCCAAAAAAAACGGGGTGGGAAAAATTTCAAGAATATATGAGATCACGCCGCTGAGCTGTGGCTGACGTCAGGACTCCTGACTAACAGGTTTTTGCACAATTAAATACGTCAGAGGGATCAGGTTCTTCTCGGACACATGAACCGCAGCACTTTGGGGATTAATCTGCTCTGAAACTAAAGACTGCTGTTGTGTGATAAGAAGAGTTGAAGTACTTTGATAGAGGTCTTAAAACAACCCACCATCCACGTCTCCTTTAGACGTCCACCGCTGTGTAACACAGTAGAGGAAAATGGAGCTTTTTTCACTGATCGTTTCTTTACAGCTTTTGTTTGCGGCGTACCTTGGCGATGATGCTGCAGAGCTGGGGGCCGTCCTGGGTGAGGGACAGCAGGTTGCTGATGGCACTGCCGATGGTGTGAACGTTGTCTGAAGACTCGATCTGTTTGATCAAGACCTGCAGAGAAGATGAGGACGCGTGACTTGAACTGTTAGAAACTGTCTGTAATGCCGTTCCTGCGAAAAAAGGGTCAGGGCCACATGAAGAGAAAATTTCGTGGGCAAAGTCGAAATTTCAAGATTAAAGTCAAAATTTCGAGATTAAAAAATTTAAAATTTAAATTCAAGATTGATAAAATCGAAATTTTGTCAATGAAGTCAAAATTTTAGGATTAAAAATTTAAATTTTAGGATAAAAAAATATAACTTTCGAGATTTAAGTTAAAATTTCGAGATTTTAATCCTCAAATTAAGCTTTTGAGATTAAAAAATATAAATTTCGAGATTAAAGTCAAAATTTTGAGATTTAAATTATGTCAATGAGGTCCAAATTTTAGTAGAAAAATGTAAAATTTTGCGATTAAAATCAAAATTTCGAGATTAAAAAATTTAAATTTTGAGATTAAAGCCAAAATTTCACGATTACAGTCGACTTGAATAAAGTTGAAATTTCGTCAGTTAAATTGAAATCAAGATTAAAGTCGTTTCAAATAAAGATGAAATTTAATGAGTAAAGTCATAATGATGAGGATAATGATAATGAATCAAAAGTATTGTCTCTCGTCACTCGTCCTTTGTAGAGGAAGAAGCACAGTGAGCACAGTTTGTAAAGCTTTACTTAAAAATTTGATTCAGTAATAAAAAAAAAAAAACTCGCTCTTTTAGCACACAAACAAAGTGCAGTCATAAATATTCGGACTCTGAAAAGACTTTGCCGAAGATTATGACTTTACAGAAGAAAAATACAGACAAACATAAAGAAGGTTGCCGCCTTCGTGCAAAATGTGATATTTCTTCATTTCAACTTTTTAAAATTGTAATTTTAATCTCAAAATGGAAATTAAGAAAATCCCCCTCCTGTAATTATTTTTCCTCTTCTTATAGCCCTAATCCTCTTTTGTTTATCCCTGATCAGGTTTTAGCAGTCCTGTCGGACTTTTTAAAACTGTTCCTGAACGTTTGTTTCCCAAAGTTTGATGTGTAGGAGCCTGAATGAAAACACAAGACGGAGCTCACATACCCGGATCTCATTGGCTAACGCCATGTCAATCATGTTGCTGAAGGAGTCGCTGACGTCTGTCAGGATCTCATGGATGGCCTCTCTCATGGACTTTAGGAAGAACTCGTCATCAGTGTGGAGACACCTGTGGGTAGAAGGACAATCTTTAATATTTTCCACATTTTCACACTTTCTCATTGTGACTTGTTGAGTTTGTGTCGGACTCTCACCTCTCTGTGATGTTGGTCAGCTCCATACATTTGTCCAGCAGAGATTTCTCGTACTGATGAGACAAAAAGACAAAAATAAAAGCTGGAGAATCAAACCCAAAGTTCTTATTACACACTGACATTTTCATCATGAGAAACCTCTTAAAAACATCATTTTATCTGCTAAGATGTGACCCCTACAGTCGAATTTGCAAGTTTCTATATATTCTGATCATCGTCACTTTCATGAAAAGGAGCGATGATTCGCTTATTAATGTAATAACCACTTTTTTTAAAGCAGGAATTCAAGGATCTATACGAGAAAGTAATGAGCGTTTAATTTGTCTTCTTGGTGGTTCCTGCAGGTTCTACTCCCGTACCGATCATCCCAGTAAAAAGACACAAGTATAAATGGGTCATTTTCTAAAGTTAGACCCTCTTATGTAACGGCATGAAATACTTACTATTATAATTTAATCAAAGTGAAAAGGAGGCCTGATTTTACAGGATGCGAGTGTCGTCATCTGAGGTATCCTGCTCTAAACTTTGACATATTTTGAGAAGTGCAGAGCTGAAGTGTAAACTTCTGAAGAACCAAACCGCTTCCATATTTCACCTTCTGCATCTCAGGCGGCGTACTCCTGGCCGTGCTGTACTCGTGCACCAGTGAACGGACGTGACAGTTGGCCCTCACGGCGGTGCTGTGGACCCTCTGCCAGCGGCCTTTCTCCAGCCGCTGGAACATCTTCCCCAGCTCTGTGCTGACCACCAGCGCTCGGCGAAGGAGCGTCTGCAGGTTGTTCCTCGCCACGTGGTCGCCCGTGCCGACCCCTGAGGCCACGATTAGCTCCCCCTGCTGGGCGTCCTCCTCCACCCCGATGGGTTTAGCCTGGAGGACGCACATGCACTCCACCTCCGTCATGTGGCGTAGATCCTCCATCCAGCGTTGGACCGAATCGACTTGGAGAGACTGCATACGGGTGCTGTGGGGAAACACAAACATGGTTAAAGCGGAACTACTCTGAGGCTTTTTATTCAGTCAGGAGACATTTGTTATTTCATGAGTTTGCAAAGAAAATTGTTGTAGTCAACATTGTTGTTTACATTTTTTACATTCTTGATTGTTGTTTTTTACATTTTTGTTAATATTTTTCTACAGTTTTGATTCTTCTTGTTAACATTCTTTTTTAATTTTTGATGGTTGTTCACATTTTTTTACATTCTTGATTGTTGTTTACATTTTTGTCAACATTTTTTTTTACATTTTTGTTTGTTTGTTGTTTAAATTTTTGTTAACATTGTTTTACATTCCTCATTGTTGTTGGCTACATTCTTTTTACATTTCTGATTGTTGTTTACATTTTTGTCCACATTTTAAAAAAATTCTTGATTGTTGATTAAATTATTTTTTTGATTGTTAACATTTTTTGAAATTCTTGATTGTTGTTTTTTACATTATTCAAAATTTTTTGATTGATGTTGTTTTCATTTTTTTATTGTTGTTTAAATTTTTTTTTACATTTTTGAAATTCCTGATTGTTGTTGTTTAAATTTTGTTTACATTTTGTTTGTTGTTGTTTACATTTTATTACATTTTTGTTTGTTGTTTACATTTTTGTTTAAATATTTTACTTTTTTGTTTGTTGTTGTTCACATTGTTGTTTACATTTTTTTCCACATTCTTGATCGTTATTGTCTACAGTTTGCTCTTGTGTTTTTGATTGCTCCATACGCTCTTATGGATGTTTTTTTGTTTTGTATTTTATTATCTTGGCTTGGAAACGGACCTGGACAATAATCTTGTACCACCGACTGTCAAAGGTGTGGGGTATGAGAATTAAATGTCCTTAAATTCTTAAAAAAAAGTTTTTTGTAAAGTTGTGTGCATTGAACAGCTGACGGTAACCAAGCTATGGTTATTTTTGGGGGTTTTAAATCATGCAAAAACTAAAATATTATCATATTGGTTGTCGTATCATTCTGGTCTACACATACATAAAACCAAAGCTTCTTAATCGATGAAACTCCAACTGTGTCATGTGATAAAACTGCTGCTATAAAGTGCAATAATTACTCTAAAATTAATGACGTATATTAGAGTTCCGTTACACACGGATTACTGCTTCACGCTCGTCTCCTTCAGCTTTACCGATTGAGAAAACACTCCTCCCCCCTTTGATTCCCACCGGGATTCACCCTGATGAACAAAGACTTAAGTGGGCCCTGCACAGACCCTGAGTCACAGGGCAGGTCAGTGGACACAAACAGACTCCTCAGCTTTGAGTCGACACGTGGGTGAGGGTCTCTGAACTTGATATTTTCCTTCTTATTGTCTTGTTTGCAGTTTGTGTGAAATGTCAGCTCACTGGAGACACTCCGATATTGCTTTGGGACTGAATAAGAGCGGGTTAAAGAGACGCTTTGAGGTCATGTGTTCACTGAAAACAAAGATTTATCACTGACCAGAATCAGTAAAGGGTAAAAATCTTTAAGGAGAAAGAAGAAACAACTTTAATTTTATTTAATCCACAACTAAATCATGCAAAAGCAGCTGTTTATACCGACTCTGTGGCACTTTAAATTACTCAAAAGAAAAATCAACATAAGTAAAGAAGTGTCCGTGTTTATATCAGTCTGCTCCATTGCTGTCCCAAATTGTCACATAATGTTAATTAAGGCTGCAGAGGTAAACAGATCGCTTCAATCATTCTAATGCTGCAGTTTGTACAAGAACAATCCTTGGTATTCTGCAAAATTTTAGTGCAAAAATATCAAAATACTCAATAAATCAGCGACTCAGAAGAGATTACACTTAAATGCCTTCAAACTCATTTTTATTCCTTGGTTTTTAGTTCAGATCTCTGTTCTTTTACATCTTTTATGGTCCTTTTATCACTTCTATTTCTTTTATGTTTCGTCCTTTTCTTCCCCTTCATCCGAGTCCGGGTCGCAGGGGCAGCAGCTTCAGGAGGGAAGCCCAGACGGCCCTCACCCCGGCCACATCCACCAGCTCCTCCTCCGGGGGGATTCCCAGGCGCTCCCAGGCCAGGCAAGAGATATAATCCCTCCACCTGGTCCTGGGCCGGCCATGAGGTCTCCTCCTGGTGGGACATGTCTGGAACACCTCTAACGGGAGGCGTCCAGAAGGCGTCCTAACCAGATGCCCGAGCCACCTCAGCTGACTCCTCTAGACGTGGAGGAGCAGCGGTTCTCCTCTGAGCGCCTCCTGAGTGTCCGAGCTCCTTACCCTATCTCTAAGGCTGAGCCCGGACACCCTGAGGAGGAAACCCATTTCAGCCGCTTGTATCTGCGATCTTGTTCTTTCGGTCATTACCCAAAGTTCATGACCATAGGTGAGGATCGGCACGTAGACCGACCAGTAAATCCAACTAAGGACCACGGCCTCGGACTCGGAGGCGCCGATCCGAACCCCAGCTGCTTCACACTCAGCTGAGAACCGCCCCAGCAAGAGCTGAAGGTCACTGCTTGACGAAGCTAGAAGAACCACATTATCCACAAAAAGCAGCGACGTGATCCTCTGCCTGCCGAACTGGACACCCTCCAATTCTGTCCATAAAGGTTATGAACAGAACCGGTGACAAAGGGCAGCCCTGGCGGAGTCCAAACTGTGTTTTTATTTAATATATTTTAAATGTTTTTTACCTGCTTTTATTTCTTTCTTCTTGATGTTTTTTTTTCTTCTTCTGCAGTGTTTGTTCTTGTGATTTTACTGCGCAGCACTTTGGTGAACTTGAATGTTTTTAAAATGTGTTATATCAATAGTGGATTGAGATGAGCGCTCGGGCTGGAGTCTGTTAAATATTGTTAAAATGCCTTTCTGCGATTCACTTTGGCTGAAAAAATAGTGAAATATCCCTTTAAAATAAAGTTCTACCCAGATAGTTTTATATGTGTGAACTTTTTCCCAAAACAGGAAGTTGTGGAGCATGGAGCACGAGGGCACCCACACACAAACACACAAACACACCGACTGCAGACGTGTATAGATATGTAAATAAATTGGAGTCCCTGTCAATCATCTGTCAGGCGAGGAGGTGGAACGATAAAGTCTGTAGGAGGCAGAGCGAGGAAGCTCAAATCTCCCTCAACTTAAAACAGGATGAAGATGTAATTAACTGTGAAGGTAGACTTGTAAAAATTAAACTGCTCCACGGTGTCACAGAGTGTAGTTCCCGTAATAAGAGGATGAAATATAAGAAATTCAGCTAACTACTGCTGATCTTCACTTTCTCCTCCTCAGGATTAAAAACACTCACCATCATGGTGTTGTGTTTGTTTGGGTTTAATCACACAGCTGTGAATTACACAGTGACTCAGAGTCAATGAGTCAAATGAGCCACAAAGAGCTCGATCTCTGTCACGAACGAAGAGACAAATAAAGCTTTCAACTCTTCATCAGCATCGTTTTCTCTTACATGTTTCTGAATAACTCCAAAGTTTCATTTTGAGATGAAAATTATAAAAACAAACAACCAAACTTTGCAGAAATATGCAAAAATCTGAACCCACCGAGGCCATTTGGAGTCATTTTCCATAGTTATATAACGACACGATGCGAGGATGAACCCGTCTTGATTTACACGCCCATCAGACCGCAGAACCTTCCCCTCGCCGCGCAGGAGGGGGAAAAAAGATGATGATAATAATAATGGGCTTGTTTTCCAAAGGAGGGGAAGCGGTGCTCTTCAGCTCGCAGGGAATGACAAATATTTACATGCAGGGCCAGAAGAGGGTCAGGCTACAGCGGCTCGATTATCTCAGATAACCGCGGTCGTGCCGAGAGGAAGCGTCACGCTTTCAGAGCGACGGACAGCTGTCAGAAAACTGAGTGACGACAGCAGAGACAGGACTGACCATCAAAATACGGAGGCTTTAGTTTGAATGATAAAAAAAATCAGGAAACTTTTTAATAAAGGCTGAAATTGTCATGATTTATTTCACTTTTTTCTTATTTTGGTTAAAATGTTTGTTTTCAGGAAACTTTTAAAAGACTTTTATCTGTTTTTGCTCAAAAACTTGAAGGTTTATGAATTTAATGTTTCCTCTGTTTTATGATTTGACAAGAAGACCGTCTGTTACGGCGTTTTGTCACCAGTGCATCCAGATCAAACTGTGCAAAATTATATTTGCTGATCGGTGCAAATTAACCCCATAATGCTCACCATCAAAGTTAGAATACTTTTCACAAGTTCTTATTTTTACTTCGGTATTACTTCAGGTTTGATAAATTTTGATGCTGTTGTTCAGTTTTCTTGTATTAAATAATGTTTTTATTTCAGTTTATATTTGTTTTAATGTTTTTTTTTCTCATATGATGCACTTGTCAAACAAAACCTTAAACTTTAAAGGCGTTAGGGAGTTTGCAGGACTTCTGTTAAAATTAATCATATATATGGTGTTACAACAAAATTCAATAATAAATGAAATGTATTGGTGCACAAACTGCAGCTGCTCCAGGTCCAGTCTGGATTATTAGTAGTGCTTCTACGATTTTTTTGGATGCCAATTCGATTTAAATTGCGATTCTACGATAATAACATGTAAGTCAGTCGATTTTACCATATCTCCCCAAAAAATACAGATCACATGTAAGTCAGTTTTTAAGATTTATTCTTAAATTTGAAAAAAAAAAATTTTTTGAACATAAAAATTGATTTAAAAGTTGTAAAACAAAAAATCACGATACTTGTGTGAATATTTATGCGGAGATCTCCCAGGAGGGTTCGAAACTCCTCCTCTCTAGCATGAATTCACAGCTTTGGGCACTCTCTGTAGAAACAATACGGCACGCAAAAAAGAGCAAATTATTCATGCAAATTCATCGAGTAAATATCAATTCATTCAGGTGTTAAAAAGCTCCTGAATTAAACAAGTTAATAATGTTTTTAAATGTTGTTCATTTCAGGGGGGGTGTCATGAAGCCCAAACATGGTCATTCTCCTTCTGGTGAAAAAACTCAAATTTTCGGCTCAGAAACCAGATCAAGAAGGCGGAGCTGAGGCCGAGAATAAACAGCATCTTAGCCTAAATATCATCATGATGATTAAAAAAATGAGAGAGACCAAAATGTTTTGTAAACGAGGATGTAAACGTGTTAAATTCGACCGTAAAAACTGTGCGCTCTAATGAGTTTCCTTTGCTTTGTCAATCAGCCCTCTACTGGACACACATGGAACTGCATTTTCTTTTCGGCACTCCCACACTGGCTTCATTTACGTCATTATAAGTTGCAGCTTGGTGACAGAGAGGTTTTGATCCCACTCAGCTGTCCGTCAAACTTCACATCATGGAAAAACTTTGGGAACCACCTTCAAAAACAACCCTCTGAAAATGTTGACAGAAGCTCTCCTACGGAGACGGTTTTGGTCTTTTTGTGGGATCTGTTGACAGTACGCCGAAAAAGGAACAACAACAACTTAAAAGAGGACCTCACTCAGCTTATAATAAAATATAAGCTTAGATATATCAAAAGGAACAAACATGCAGAAGTCTGACAGGCTGGTCTGTGAATAAAGTCTGAATCCTGTTCAGGTTTATGTAAGAGATCAGGCCGACAGTGAGCTCACTCTTCCTGTAACACTTCAGGAGAAATTGTTAACTTGAGCTTTTAGATGATTCACTTTTTAACTTTGTATGAGACATGGAGTAGTTCTGCTGGATGAGTCACTGAGAGGCTGCTGCCGCTGCTCTGACTGTTCTGCTCTGTAATCGTCTCTGATTCAAACCCACATTTATGAAACCGAGAGGTTACAGACCGAGCTGGAAGTCTGCGAGGTGATTTAAAGATGTAGGATTCAGGAGTGTGGCTGTACTGGTCGGCTATGTGAGAGTTAAATACCATGCACATACAATATGAAGAGATTTTAAAAATGTAAGAGACTGGCTGATTTGTTTTTAAACTTTGGAAATAATAAAATGCAGATAATTCAACCTCTACAGATCACACTGTATCAGTTTCAATTTTATTCTATTGTTTTCTATTGTGTAACAACTTATCATTACTTAATATAGCAAAACATTAAGTGACATCACACTGTTACATAACATAACATAACATAATGCTACATAGCATTATGTTACGTTACATTCCACAAAATAACTATCTAACATAAGATATCGCAACGTAACATAATGTGGAATAACATGGTGTAACGTAACATTACACAAAATGACATTATGTAACATAATGTGGGGTAACACACTGTAACTTAACATTACGTGACAGAAAATAGGGTATTGTAGTGCAATGTTACGCATCGCAATAAAGGGCCTGACTGATTTATCGGCGAGCCGGTTAAAGCGGCCAATTTTAGCCCGTTTGAGACTGATCGGTAATCGGCCAAAACTCGCCAAAACAAAAATAAAATGCAGAGAATAAGATTCGGTTTCACTTCGAAAATGTTCCGCCATTTGAAAAGTTCACTGACTTATCCTGTAGATGGCGCAGGGACCTCATGTAACATAACATAACTTGATGTAAGGTTAGCTGAAGGGTTGGGACCAGACAAGTTTCGACTTCCTCTCACTCCATTTTAAACATGCAAATGACAAAATTATTTGATTCTCTGGTTTTGTTTTCTTTCTGTTTTTTGTGTTTATGTCTTTAATGTGTACTGTTTAATTGTTCATATTAACATAAATTCTATTTTAAAAAAGTTAAATACTACAATGCAATGAGAAGCAACATAATGCAATGTAACCCAATGCAAACTAATGTAGTGTAACACAACGCAACTGAATTTAACACAACCTGTTGTTACATGTAACAACATGATGTAACGTAACATGAAGTAACATTACTTACTGGTTCAAAATGTATCCTATTACCTTGTATTGTATTAAATTGTACCACATGGTATCCTGTTACACATTGTTTCACATCGTCTTATAATGGATCCAACCCTATGGCATTATGTTGTATTGCATCAAATTATACACTTTTATATCACACTTAATGAACTAATCACAACATTAGCCCACCATGTTGTATTGTAATGTATTATATCATGTTGTATCCTAATGTATAATGTCTCATACTAATATATCACAGTGGACTGTGGTAAACTCACACAAATATACAAAGAACTAGGATATAACTTTTAAAAGACATGAGGAGGTGAATCATTTGTTTGTCTTATCTTTTAAGATTATCGCTACAATAAACTAACTTTTGCTTCAGTTCCAGCAGACATGATCTGTGGATTTTCTGTCTGAAATGTCCCTAAAACGAACCAGGTACCCCATTTATGTATAAATATCTACTCTCTGTGACACAGAGCTACTTTAAAGCTGGGATCACCTGCTGACAGACATTTTTACAGTGAGGAAAACCTGCTGCAAAGAAAAAAGAAGAAGAAACAAACAGGCGCAGACACGGACCTCTGACAGAATTCCATCACAGGGTGTGAGTCAGTTTGTTCGAGGCTAAAAACAGCAACAACATCCGCATGAAAACACCGTGAGCATTAATCTCCTAGCGTGTGCTGTCTGTGGGTTGTTTGCTAATCGCATCATGAGGACAAGGGAAATAAATGACTGTACAAATGTGCTTTAAACCACAGGGGTGGTCACATCACGGCCTTACATGCTGGACCGGCCCACTCGATACAGACGGGGAGGTTTGAAACGGGAGTGGAGCACCTGTTGTCGCTCAAGCTCGGATCGAGGCTGAACATTACAAGACCAGTTTTAAAGAATCACCCGAGGCTACAGGTGAATCAGACTTAATGTACAACACCTCATGGATCGTGGACACGGGTTGAGTCATGCTGGCTGGCGCTCAGTCTGTTTCAGGATCACTTTCCGGCTGTTTCAAATTAAAGTAAACCTCAAACAGTCTGTTTTAATAAATGTGGGAGATTAACGTCTTACTCAGGCTTACAAATAAGAATAATTACACAAAATCTCACGCACAGTTATGCTCCAATGTCCTCCAGCATTGAAGACATTGATGTTAACGTGAAAGTGCAAAAAAAAAACTGTAGTTCCTTCAGTGTCCACATGGGGCTGCTCCAAAAACCAAGGGATACGTTTGATGATGACTGATGAGGGACGCTTTATTGTGCTTTTTAGTTTTGAGGTTTTTTTTTAATTTTATAAGATCGGACAGCTGAGGAGAGGAGGGAACCATGGGACATAGAGAGTGAGGGATAACGAGCAAGAAAGCGTCATGGCGGAAAACGACCAGCAGCTGTTGAGACGAAGGCTGCATCCTCTTTACGTTTACGGTCATCGCTGGATTGGGAGATTTAAGTGGACTTCAATCGTTGCCCCAGTTTAAATGCACTGGGCGAGGAATGAAACTGTTGACAGAAGCATGTCCACCTCTGCTACAGGTGTTGACACGCCCCTCTTGGCTTGTTACTTGGGCCCGACCGATTAAATAAGATTCGGTTTCACTTCGAAAATGTTCCGCCATTTGAAAAGTTCCCCGACTTATCCTGAAGATGGCGCAGTGAGATCATGACAATCTTGATCCACTAACTACCTCACAGCACAGCAGAGTGACGGATCTGAAGCAGGCAGCTCAGGGACGCACGGAGGAGAGTGGTCCACCTCAATGGCTGCTATTAGCCTTGCTACACTGTTAGCCGTGCCAGTAACGGTAGAATAAACTACAGTACACATTAGTGATCGAGCGACTTCTCTTACTGAGGCAGCGTGAGTTGTAACGTGAGTTAAGACGTTGTGGCACTGATCGGCGAGGTGGGGTGGTTGAAAACGCTTTTCTGGTCCAAGTTTGATCAGTCGGTCTTCCTGTCGGCGTGAAGAGCAGTAGCCTACAGTATATCTACAGTACAGTATATATGTATTTTTTAGAACTTCATAAAAATTTTAAGAATCGACCGATTAATTGGTAATTGGATCCTTCACTTCACTTAAAAAAAAGCTGAAACATCCCTTTAACTTTTAACAAAAGAGTCAGCAGGATAAGGTTGTTTTTGTCAGAGGAGGACATGATAAGCAGGCTGTGAAAGTGGAGGGTTTTGGATCAGAGCCCCGTCTGGATGTTTTTAAAATCTTCTTCGTCCAATTCTCGATTATCCACAGACCTCATGCAGTAGAGTCGGCACGCCAGGCAGTTTTTCTGGGAAAGAAGTCCAACATGTGTTTGCTCGTGCTTTTATTTCATCCTCTGGCTGCGACTCTTTCTGTTCAGTTTGTTCCCAACACGGTTTTTCTGATATGGAAGTCATTCAGCGATGTAAGCAGGAAGAAGGCCGTCACTGTCCTCCAGAGTCTGCTGTTCACGGGTATCACAGTCTGACGCCTGATGTCACTTATGAACAAATGGAAATTTTTGTCAAATGCCGCAGCAGAACCGCAGTCCAGCGCGGCCCAGTGAATGGAAATGTGGGCAGAATGAGCTGCAAGATTTTGGGAGCAGAGCATTGTGGCTTTGGCTTCCACTGACAGGAGGAAACAAGGACACTGTTGTCCCAGAGAGGATTAAATATGGAAGCAGATACACAAAGAGACCACATAGGATGTTGGAGACTTCTTCTTCTTCTTAGAAACCAGAGTATCACCGAGCAGAACCGTCTGAACTAACTGAGGCCACAGCTGCAGTGAGGGACGAACCGCCGCCTCACCTTGTAAAAAGGCGTCAGATGAGCTCAACAAATGGACAAAGCACATGGCTAATGGTACTTCTGGATGTGCGGGTCACGCCTTGACTTTCCGAAGGCGAAGGTTGAGTTCTGCTCTCCTCCTGAAGTAGCGCCTGTTGAGGGAGTATCGTGGCCTCTGACTGGTACAGCTGAATCCTGGACGCAGAGGCAGACATCTGACTTCCAGATGTTTGAGACGGGCTGTCATGTGCAGCCAAGAGCAGACTCACCTCCACCAGCAGACTCTCCGTCTGTTTTTTATTTGTTCTCCGTCTCTCAGCTCCACCAAATCGGACTGAACCCTCTCTGTTGTTAGCTCTTTCTCTCGTTAGAGGAGAAATATACACACTCTGTAGTTTGTTCGACTCAGTTATCAGTCATTCTGGGACTGATTTAGGATTGTTGGGACTTTAATAACCTGATGATGGCGCTTCATTTTTCAAAAACCTCTTTTCGTCTTTGTCTTCGTCCAAGACTGCAGTGAACGGTGAAAGCATATAAGGGGAACAGAGAGGGGTGATGACAGGCACCAAAGGGCCAAGGGTCGGGGTTGACCTGGAGGTAAATGCATTAAAGACTTTTTTCTGCACTATAAAAGGTTTCCTCTTGAATTACGACATGGTTTAGAGGCTCTCTTTTAGCATGCAACACAGTGCAGGTTCACTGTGCAACACCAGGTCCGGTCTATATCTGAGTCAGGACTAGAGATGCTCCTGAGGGGCCAAACTATAACTATAGGTAATCTCCATGAGACACCGGGCGTATGTTTTATAATAACCATCATCTACTTAAAGGGGTTAACATCATAGACTGAATTAAACCGGAGTCTGGTAGAGGTGGAAAAAATAATCGATTCTAAGATGCATCACGATTCTGCATCGATGGAGCGACGTGACATATTCGCTCTTTTCCCTCTTTATTATATTATTTTTCTGGCGGCATTTGGACAATAAAGTTGCGAGGTTTCAACGACTAGCGGGGGGCAAAGTTGCAATGACATGCAAACTAGCGTTAATACAACAGAAAACGCGGACCAGGACACGATAATCAAAGATGCACCCATTACCGTTAAATTATACGTCTGGGTTAATTTCGGCTTTTATGAACTTGATGGGAAGCTTGAGAAGACGCACGCTGTGTGTAAAGTCTGCCACATGAAAATAAAGTACTTTAGGAATACAACAAATGTGACAAAACATTTTAAACGTTTTTACCATGTGAGGACTTCGTCAGCAACAGCTACGAAAACAGCGAGCAAATCCTGATTCACAATCTACAGTGGACAGATTAATGTTTTGTTTTTCAGGGATATTGAAATAAAAAAGGAGTTCAAAAGAATATGTATCTGACTGTTTGTAGTAAGTGATGAAAAATTAGTTATAAAAAATAGTGAGAAGAATCGTGATGCATGGCAGAATCAAATCGGATCGTTAAGCAGATAATCAGACTGAATTGTGAGGCAGGTACCGCTGCACACCTCTAGTGTCTGGAGAGACATACAGAAGCCCGATACTGACAGACACTTTATTGAAGATTCTAACTCAACCTGTAAACATATTTAAAACCCAACCCTCTAACATGGGACTTATTGGGGTTTCCTCTGGAGCTCCAAGTGGACACTGGAGGAACTGCAGTTTTTTGACTCTATCTTTAACTCCAAGACTTGGTATAACATGGAAGTTTTATGATCAGGTCACAAAAACTTAGCAAAAACAAAGCAGTAATTTGGCGGTATTTCATTTCGTTGGGGGTTCACCTTTATTGGTGGAGAGAGTCAGAAGACACCAGGCCTGGAAGATGGACCTCTGATTGGATCAGCTGCTAAATTTGTTCTTCTTTGTGTCGTTTTGACAAAATATTACAGTAAATAGATTTTGCAAAGTTTAGAATAATTTTGATCATTTAAATAAAGAAATTCATGATAACTACAGACAGCTACAATCTTAAAATATGGAGGTTATGGTCTCTGTCGCCCTCTCTGTCCACTGTCCTGTCCTCTTCAAATAAAGACAAAAGACTGAAAGTTTGCGTGTTAAAAATTAACTGATGTCAGACGTTCCCACGATCCATAATTCCCCCTGAAAACTTTCTATGGAACTCCGTCTACCATGTCCAGATTATAGACTAAACCTACCATCCTGAAACAGTTAAAGACGATCAACATAGATGTTTTTTTTAATGGTCTCCTGATCGTCATTTAACTCATAAAAATGTCAACATCATGCTAACAATAACGGTTTTCCAGGTTTCTTCTCTGTCAGACACATTTGACCGATCAGACCGGCTGGAAACCAAACTGAACATTTCTGCAGAGTTCCACAGAGTTTGCTTGGACTTGCAGTCATTTCTGACATTACCACTGCCATATGTGCTCTCTGGATTTCATTCTTTAGTCTTGCATAATTCCCAGGAGTCTTGTGTCTCTCTCTTAACTCGGCAAACTCGCACCTGCGCAACCTTACAACACCTGCGCACAAATCCACGAGGTAGAGAAACAAAAACAAAACAGACGAGTGACGTCGCAGAAACTCGGTTAACCAGCTCCCTGATGACCGCGCCTCTCAGACTGAAACCCGAGACCCTGATGGTCCAGATAGAGCGATCCCAGCAAAGCGCTGGTTCTGTTGTGTAGATGTTTGTCATCTGAGAGCATGTGTGTGTGTTTGTGATTTATTCTAATACAATTCAGTCATTTGGCTCCTTTCATCAGTCCATTTACCGACTGTTACCAAACAAACAAGACTCTGTGTGTGTGTGTGTGTGTGTGTGTGTGTGTGTGTGTGAGAGAGGGACAGGCTGACAATGAGACCAAGTTTGTTTATTCCTGGTTGCCTGTGAATGGCGTGACAGCTGTGCTGATCTGATATCCAGGGGCATTCATTACTCGTCTTCTGCGGCGCTGTGTAAGCATTTGTAAACACACGACTGTCAGAAGATGTATCTTCATATTCATTATCGATGAGTGAAACAGACTCCACCAGAGCAGCTGATGAAGAGGCTCCTCCACATCAGCGTCTGACACAACAAACACATAAATCAGGGTTTGTCTGCGGGGAAAAAAAGGGACTTTTCTGGGCTGGTTTATTTGAAGATTGATCACCATGAAGGTTTGAAAACACACAATAAGTTCTGGATTTGTTTTCTTTGGCCTGAACTTTATCAAAACACCAGAGAAACATCGCTCTAATGAACAAATAGTCTTAAAGTTGTTTTATTTTGAAGGGCCAGGCCTGCAGCTGCTGATGGTTTCCTCTCAGGTTCGGGTCAGCTGGCAGGTTTTTTATTTTTTGGCCTTTTCGTGACAGCGTGAAAAGCGTGACAGCTGCTGTTTTCGCTTCGCTCTCTCTGTTTGGTAAAGTCTTTTCCCACGTGTTGGACAGATTTTTCAGATTTGTGTTTTAAATCTCTGACGTCGGCGCGCTGATATGCACTCAAATATGGAATCAAACTGAGGACAGATGTTGTGGGAGCGTCCTGTGAAGGTGGGAGGGAGTGAAGAGCGTGGGTGTTTGTGTTCGTGTTTGCGTTGTCGCTGAGGTTTTGACCTCGGCACTTCCTGAATCTCTGCTGAGTTAGGATCTGAGCTGAAGCAGATATATTGGTTTGGAGATGATGAACAAATGAACAAACAAACATCAGCTGGTAAATATTTCTCAGGACAAATACAAGGATGGAAAATAAAGTGATCTGAATCAGCTGCTCGAGTGCGGTCAGTCAACATCTTAAAACAGACTTTTTTTACTCATGGTCACCTCTCATTTCTACGAAAGAGAATTAGGACCACAAGAAGAGCAGAAAATAATTACAGGAGGAAGATTTTTCTCATTTCCATTTCAAGATGAAAGTCGAGATTTTGAGTTTACAGTTAAAATCTAAAATGTCGAAATGAAGAAAATGGAAATTTCGAGATTAAAGTCAAAAATTTCCAGATAAAGGAAAAATTTGACAAGTTTGAAATGAAAAAAAAAAGACATTTCGAGATTAAAGTCTAAATTTAAAAAGTCGAAATGAAGAAAATCGAAATTTTGGGATTTAAGTCTAAATTTCGAGATAAAGTCGCAATTCAAAAAGTCAAAAATTAAAATTTTGGGATAAAAGTCGTAATTCAAAAACTCACAATGAACACATTTCTAAATTTTAAGATTAAAGTGGAAATTTCGAGATTGAAGGTTGAAATTTAAGAAGTCGAACTGAAAAAATCGGAATTTCGCAATTAAAGTCGAAATTTTGGGATAACAGTCGAAACTTAAAACATTTGAAATGGAAAAAATCAAGCTTAAATTCAAAATTTTGAGTTTAAAGTCAAAAAATAAAAAAATTGAAATGAAAAAATTAAAGTTGAAATTTTAAGATTACAGTTGAAATTTAAAACGTTGAAATTTAAAAATTTGAAATGTAAAAAATTGAAATTTCAAGACTAAATTCAAAACTTTGAGTCTAGAGTCAAAATTTTAAAAGTCGGAACAAAAAAATGAAATTTCTAGATTAAATTTGAAATTTTCAGATTAAAGTCGAAATTTAAAAAGTCAAAATAAAAAAACTAAATTAAGAGATTAGAGTCAAAACTTCTTTATTAAAAAAAAACAAAATCACATGATAAAGTTGAAATTTTGAGATTAAAAAAGTCGTAATAAAGTCATTACTTACGAGAATAAAGTCAGAATAAAGTCGTTGTGGCTTTGCATTAAAAAATCTATTTCTGTCGTCGGAGTAACCCCTCAGTTCAGCCTCTTTCTCAAAGCTCCTAATTTCAGCTTCTTTTCCGCTAACATACAGCGAGGCACAGTTTGTGGGTGTTACTTTTTACACAGCTATGGAGCGACCTGAAAGTCGTGCCCTTACAGAAAACATCTGAGGTTTGACATTTGCAGCCATAAAGCTCCAAATTAAACTGTTGTTAAATAATCTGCTGTTATAAAGTTACCTTCAGCGTGTCGTTCAGGTTTTAGTAACAGGTGAGGTCCAAATCCAGCTCGTACCGGTCTTTATTAACATCAGAGTCATCAGTGAAGGGGAAACAGCTTTTCTGCGGCTGAGACTTCCTCTGTTTTTTGGTGCTTTTGTTTTTGAGCAGAGAAAATAGTTGTGGCTTTCCCTCTAAAAACCAAAAGAACACTTTCCCAAACAAAACTCTGCTGTGATTCGGTCCTCTTCAGATTCATGTAAGATGAACTCACACGTATAAAACACACAAACCCCTTTAAGGAACGTTTCTGAGCTGATGTCAGAGCGCTGCGAGACATTCAGGGGGAAAACCGTTAATTCTACAGGAGTCGATAAATATCTGTGTTTAAACAGCCGATACCAACAAATGTAGACAGAAAAGAATGAGCCTCAGAGACACCAGGAACTACTTTAGATCTCAGACTTTGTCATCTGGGCTGAAAATAAACAAGTTTATATTTGCAAATACTGATACTGATTTCAATAAACAGCTTGTGCATTGAATTAAAGGTGCAGTTTGTCATTTTTGTGAGTGACTTAATAAGATTTTGTAAGATTCAGTAAAACGACAGAGAAACAAAAAGCATAAATATTAATTTTCTGAACATTTTCTCTGGTTATCAGTGTCTGCTGTCCCTTTTAAAAGTCTGTCTTTTTTACCTGATGTTACGCAGCCGTCATGTTTATCATCTTCCTGACAAAACACGACACGCCAAATATAACCCGTCCTCCTCACAGCCGCCGCTCTGTTATCAGACACGTCTGTGATGAATTCATCTCACTACTGGACCCTGTCGCCACCGTGGACCTCAATCTGTGCTCCTACAGGCTGCCGTGACACCGGCGTCTCTCCCTCTCCGCTGACATCATTACTGCCCATAATCAGGGGAGGGCAGGGGTCAAAGTCCGCCGCTGTGTTTTTCTGGGGTGGTGTTATTGGCTTGTTTATGTGTTTATTTCTACATGTGTATGACGTGTGCAGAGAGGGAGGGGAGCAAATGTGGAGTTTTTCAGTTTCTGTCCGTTATTTTTATTCACTGACATCCGGACCGATCCGTCTGTTTCATACTTTGTTTTAAACCTAAAGTTAAATTAAAACGATCGGTGATGAAGAAGACGATGATGATGATGATGATCAGACCGCGCTGATTCTTACCTCATGGGGGATGAAGAGAGCGAGCTGCTCTGTCTGGAGCTGCTCTGAGGAGTCGCCATTCTGTCCGAGGCCGTCTCACTTCTTCAGCTCAGCACCTGAAACACAAGCCGCATGATGTTTACATGAGAGTTAGAGGACATGAGGAAGACCTGGGGGGCTCGTCTGAGTCCTGAGTCCTCATCATGGAGGCCGGAGTCTGATCACTAAACTAACCTGCAGCAGGGAAAGAATGTGAGCAATAGGGCTGAACGATTAATCGATTTCAGATTATTTCATTATAACAAAGTTACAAAAATTAAAATTGTCAAATCAATTTTCTTTTGTGAAAAGTGTAAACAAACATGGCGTTCACAAAAGAAGGCGATAATTTCGTGGTTAAATAGGACGAGAGCGAGTCAGTCGTGTTGAATTGGTACGACTTCACAGTTTCAGATGAAGAGCAAACCACTCCCCGCTGTAAAGTCTGTCTGAAGGCGGTATCAACTAGGGCCGGACCGTTTTTTTGGGGCAGATGCCGATACCGATTATTAGGGGGGAAAAAAATCTGATTACCGATTAATCTTCAGATTTTTTTTTTTTTATGAAGCTATATAAAATAATCGAAAACCGGTCTGGGGAAGGTTAACCCCCAATTTCCACCTTCATCCTGAACATCTACTAAAAGGTCGTATCCGCCGATCGTAGCTGATCGTAACCATTCAAGTTAACGTATCAATTTCCACCGACTATTTTCCGTTCCTCTGCAGATCGCCAAACTCCTCAGCTGATCACAGAGTTCTATTTTTTCCAGACATCGCAGCATGGCGGATAAATTCAGCACAGATTAACCCGTGCTGGAAAGGAAGTCGGGCACAGACACAAAATAAAACATCCGGCTTCTTTTCAAAATAAAACACTCCGTGTTTCAGGAGGATCGTATTTCACACCATGCAAACGGGCGGAGACGAACAAGTGAAAGGTTTTTAGACGTCATTTCACTCCGATGACACCATGGATGAGGAGATGCTGATTCTAGAAGTCTAGAAGTAGATTTCCTCCTCTGGAAGGACACAATCTACTGCTTAAACGGTTAACTTCTGTGGCTAAAGACAACTCGTTATCGCGCGATTGCACGTGAATCCACAGGTTCTCACAAACGGATCCAGTAGGAATTGGCGGACGGCGAAAATCGCTGCCATTCCGGATGCAGTGGAAATCCCGGGTCAGGCCTCTTCATGTGCAAGGAAGGAAGGAAGGAAAGAAGGAAAGAAGGAAGTCCTTAAGCCTCCATTAGGATTCTGCTTCTCAGAGCTGAGGCCCTAATTAAACAGACATAATGAATCCGGTAAGTCCTGCAGATGAAGTAATGGTTTTAATATCCTATAATAAAACAAACAAGCGTTTTCACCCTCATTTAAAACAGACGATTTACACACGGCACCTCGCGCTGCATCCTCCTGGCTGTGTCTCGCCGCTGCAGCGTTATCCACTCCAACATCTCCTTATTGATCCGCCTCCAAGCCTTCTATTCTTGTCTTGTCTTTTTTCCCTCCCAGTAATTCAATTATCAATAAACCTCACTGTTTTAAATAGCTGCGAGCCGCTGGTGTGCCAGTGGAATAATATTTCTTATCTTCTAATTTATTGGCGGGCTGCCAGCCAGTGACTCTCTTCCCTACTTTGAGCCTGAGCAAAAGAGGCTGACGCTCTTAAGTGCCCGCAACTTTATTCCACCGTTTTATTGATGTATCCCATTTAGATTAGTCCATTTTCAATCGGGAGAGCCGCGGACGCCCCCCCTGCCCCGCGCACGCTCTAATCCTTTTAGTTAATGATATCCTGCAGTGGCGTGGTTACAGATTTCATGTTTACTGTGCAGTATAATTAGCAGGTAGTTACAAAGTGAGGCTGTCTCTGTTCGACACACACACACAGCCTCCCAGAGTCACGGGTCCGAGCCGCGGTGACCTGCTTTTATTAAACGCCGCCAGAGTGTTATAGGATCGATACACGTAAACAGGAAGACTCGCAATAAAGGGATGGAGAATAATGGGAGGCGCGGCGCACGCGGGACGTCACTCGTTTGATGGCTTGTTTTCAACGCCGCAGTGTTCGAGCTACGACAACAAAACAGACTTCTACACCCAGAATATGGAAATGAAGAGCGCATTAGAGGAGTCGCGGATCCGTATCGCCGCTCGCTTTCGATTCTCAGAAGCTCCACGGGTTACGTAATTATGAGCGCCGTGAAAACAACGTGTGATGGATGGGGAAAAGAGAGCGAGACTGATGACTTGGTGAGGAGGAGACCGACTTGTAAAAGTGAAGCAAACAGAAAAAGCAGCAGGAAGAAGAAAATGCAGAGAAAAGAGGGGGAGGGGGGTCCTTTAACTGCAGTCTTGGCACAGCTCCTCGAGGGCCATTTACAGAGAAAGCATTGCAGCAATCAAAAATGTTACCATATTGTGGCAGGATCATGGAAGTCAGAGAGGCTGGGAAGGAGCAGAATACAGTCTAATACCATAAAACAAGAGCTGGTATAATTGCACGGTGAGATTATTGCAATAGAGAGGTAGATTAATTATATTGGCCCCATAATTGAGCTTGGGGTCACCGCCAACGAGACACAGATCCAGCAGATTCCATTACATGTGCCTCGGCGCTCTTCTCTGGATTACCATACAAATGGAGATGAGTCGTCCAATCAAGCAATCCAGGCCCGAGCACTTAGAGTGTGTCGCTAAGTGCCGTGTTAAGGACCATCGCGCCGAAAGTGATCTCTGTCATTCCGCGGCGAGTGGCCGCCAACTGCAAACGACGCATGAAGAGAGCGAAAGGTTTTACAGCGAAATGTCAGAGTTTACTGCGGGTTGGCGACGCTGCCAGGAGTGTTTCCTTTACAGCCCCGAGGACAGGGTTGGTTTTTTCAGCTCTGAAAGGCTGAGATCATGTCGGTAAAAGAGCCTCAAATGTACCTTTTCTACATTTATCTAACCTGATATTTCTAAATCTACTTATCAGTTTATATTTTAGTGCAAAAACCTTAACAACACACCGATCTTTTTACCTCAGGAGGAATGTACGGCTGCCGACAAGGACCAACTGTCTGCAGCGACCGAAAGGATCTCATTGGGAGGAACGAGCTGCAAATGCAAAAGTAACACAAGTCCAAAAACAAACGCAACTGTGTGCTGCAAAAATCCAGAGTGACTGCATGGACAAATTAGGGCTGGGCGATAAACCGAACATTTACAGATACCAAAATTTACAACAATAACTAACGTCATTTTGCCCATATTGGTAAATTTGATGATGAACAAATGAAAAAACATCAGCTGGTGAATATTTCTCAGGACAAATACAAGGACGGAAAATAAGTGATCTGAATCAGCAGCTTGAGTGCGGTCAGTCAACATCTTAAGTTAGAGTTTTTTACTCTTGTTAGGGCTGGGCAATAAACTGAAAATTTAATGATACCGAAATTTTTCAGAATCAGAAACACTTTAATGATCAAAAATAATTAATAATCCTCAGGGGAAATTTGCTTTTGTCACGGTAACTCCAGTGCAAAGAGGAGATAAATAATCGATAAAATAAGTAAAAATAAAGAGAAAATGTACAAGTATGTACAATATATACAACACAAAATAGTAAAATAGTAGTATAGTAGTATAGGCGTCATTTTGCCCATGTCAATATATTCGGTGTAGGGCCTGACCGATTTATCAGCGAGCCGATCAAATCGGCCAATTCCTTTTATCGTTATCGAGGTGAACTGATCAATATATCCTGATATTGATTTTAGGACATATCGCCCAGCCCTATTGCAATTAAACAAATGATACAAAGCAGCTGCACAGAGAGGAGCTCCAGGCCTGACACAGCTTTACTGCGATCAACCATATTATTAAAAAAACAACCATAAAAATGTTAAAAGCTAATAATGATGTTATTTTTCTCCAAAGAAAGGAAAAGGAGCAATTATTCGAATGATGTGCATCATAAAAGGCGTGTCCTGAGTCTCACTGCTGCACTGAAAACTTCAGTTTGTTCTGCAGCTGTAATAAATAAGGATGGATGAATAAAGCACGTACGCATCAACTCCAAAAACATTCAGGTACTTCTTTTAAAGGTGCTGCTGAACTTCCTCGGAGCTGCAGGCACCGCAGTTACAACATCCCAAAGTGCTTCAAGTGCCACAGAAATATGAGTTTCCCGAGCAGATGGTCGGCTTTGACGAGTTCCCGGCTAATTTTCTTGCTGGGGTGGACATTTCTTTTCATGTCTGGGCTGAAACCCGAGTGGTCCTGTGGGTTTCCCCGCTCGGTTGCTGTGGAGAAGGTGTCGGTTGGAGGTACGCTCAACAAAGGACACCTCTGTCTCGGGCCTCATGTCACATGGCGGGTAAAATAACAAGCACTCAGTAAGTAGTGAGTGTAAGGGAAATCAGTCCGCCGTGCTTCCTGATTTACTGCAGCACTTTTACTCCCTCTTTGCATGTGTGCAGAGTGGAGCTGAAATGTGGGAGTGGGTTTGTGTGCATGTGTCTGTCACTTAGAGTCTTCTCAGAGATGTTTCACGTTGTGTCTTTTCTTACATTAGTCATGCTAACTTCTGCATGTACATGAGTCATCTCTCGATCTTGTCTTATTTAAGCTCCTCCGAGCTTTCATATGTGCTGCCTGTTCAGCTCATCATTCCATCAAGCTTGTGATAAAGAGTCAAAGTTTTAACAGGAGTTAAATCCAACAGAGCTTCTACCATCGGATCGAAACAGAAACCTCTAGATTCTTTAGACGACTTGGATTTTACTAAGTGTCTCCTATCAAGAGACAATGAAGTGCTGCAGGACTTATTCGCCTTTAAAGTAACCAATGAGTAATTTTCTGTTCACTTATCAATTAAATTCACTGATTCTTAAAAGTTAGAGTGAAAGAAATCATTAAAAATCTGTGTTTTAGATTGTTGGACAAATGACAGAAATTTGAAATATGTTGATGTGATACCATCAAATGAGTCGCAGTTCACTCTGTGTGCCTTAGGTGTCGCTGTCCTGTTATCTGGGTAGCCATGTCACTGT